TGTGTGTGTGTGTGTGTGTGTGTGTGTGTGTGTGTGTGTGTGTGTGTGTAATTATAGAAGCTGGGACTTGAGAGTTTAAAACAAAAAACAGGGGAACTGTAGGTGCAACATCTATTCGAGGTCTCTGCCAACTGATGCTCCTTGATGGACAAACTCTAGATGTACTATTTAAAGAACTGGTGTAGCACAATATTTGAAGGTGGGAGGCACAACAAGTGCTTTTTGAGGACAGTAAAATAGTTTTAAGTGTGATTTCTTAAATTACTTTTTAATCTATAAAAAAGCAGGACGGCAAATAAACGTCTGCATTTTTCAGATTTTTATATCTGCTGTGCATTTTTCAGATTTTTATATCTGCTGTGCGTCAACGACTAAGTCTTTATTTCAGATTTGTCTCTCAACAAGATGTACGTCTTAGTGTAAAATAAATATTTACCTCTTTGTTAAGTTTTTGTCTGTAATCGTCCAGCTCTGACAGAGACTGGTGGCCTTGTTGGAAGAACTGGGCCTGGGCCTCCATCAGAGACAACATCTGGCAGGAGACAAAGAACTGTCTTTAATAGAGAAATTGCATTTCCTGCGAAAATGTAATCTGGATGCTTAAGAACTTGCTGAAAAACAGCTGAAATTAGCTAAGAAAAATATACTGAATTGTAGCTGAAATGAAAGAACAAGCCTTAATTTGCAGAAGAAAGCAGAAATAAGACATTTTGCTGAAGAAGGTATAAAATAAGCAGAAATGAGCACAAAATTAGAAAATTAGCTTTAAAAAAGCTGATATTAGCAAAAAATATATAGCTGAAAAGGCAGAATGAAACTTAAACTACCAAAAGGAAGCGGAAGGAGCTGAAATTAGCTAAAAAATGTGGAATTAGCTGAAAAAGCTCAAATTTGCATAAACAGCTGCATAGTAGCAGAAATAGCAGGAAAAAAAAAAACCTGAAACCAGCGGAAAAAAGCTAAAAGGAGCATAACAAGCTGAAATTACCACAAAGAAGATAATTAGGCTGTAAGTAGCAAAAATTACCATGAAAAACTTGAAATGATCTGAAAACAGATGAAATTAGCTAAAAAATAAAATAAAAAGGTAGCTGAAAAGATAGAACAAGCTTAAATTGCAAAAGAAATCAGAAAGACATATTTGCCCATCTAGACTTAACGAAGCAGAAATGAGCACATAAATGTGGAAATTACCTGAAAAAAGCTGAAATTCTGAAATTGGCAAAGAAAAAAAAACAGCCCAAAAGTAGCTAAAAAAATCAGAAAGAAGCTGAAATTACAAGTAGGAAATGGAGAGAGAACATTTTTGCTGAATTGGCTGAAAAAGTTTAAATGCGTGCAAAAAACATGGAATTAGCTGAAATAGTTAATATTAGCATAAAACAGCTAAATAGTAGCTGAAATAGTGGAAAAAGCTGAAATTAGCAGAAATAAACTGAAACGAGCATAACAAGCTGAAATTAGCAGAAAGAAGTTAGAAGAAGCACAAAACATTGTAGTTAGCAGAAATAATCTGAAAGTAGAATAAAACAGCTGAAAAACTGCTGAAAGTAGCTTAAAAAAGGTTAAATTTGCACAAGGAAGCTGAAAGAAGCTGAACCAGAAGTTTCAGAGTACGAGACGCTGTAGTTGAAATGTTTTAACACATAATCTAGTTTGTAAATAATATGTAATATAAATATATATACAAGATAATAACTGTGCTCTGAACTCACTGCCATCAGAATGTCCGTCTTCTTCTTGGCCTCAATGACGTTAATCTGTCAGAACAGGAAGAGGAGGTTAATCCATGACCAAAAACCATCTGGGAGCCACAAGATGGAGAAAAGTAAGCCCCAAAGTACAAATACTAACACGACCGTGGGCGCCTGAATATGATTTTAAATGGGGGAGCGAGCACAGAGATCCAGAACAGGTTCAGATCGAGCTTTCCTGTGAAAATCCTGAGTTTAAGACTTTGAAAAGGAACGACTTTTCGTTTTAAACAAACTGTGGCTAAAAGCTGATGTGAAACCAATAAAGACATTTATAAAACTTTCTTGTATTGGTCAATTTTTGCCTCCATGTCTGTTCAGCCTAAATATACTCACATCATGGAGGTCTCTGCATGTGAACTCCAGCCTGGGCAGATATTTCCCACTTTTCAGTTCAATTCAAAAATACTTCTTTGATTCTAGAACTGCGCCGCTCAATGAGGCTACATGTTGTAGCTCAGTTATGTTTATTCTGAGATATTGCTTATGAAAACTTTCATTCCTATTTTTTCTGGATGTAAATCGCTTTTTTGTTTGTTTGTTTGTTTTTTGGAAGATTGTTTCCTCTGGTATCGGATTCTGTGCAGCTGGAAGGATTTTTACTGAAAATCTTTTACTTTTGGACATTTGTTATGATGCGTAACCATGACAACAAGGTGTTTTTTTTTTACAACCGGGAGCAGATGATTAACATCTCAAAAGCTCAAATAATACCTCAACTACAGCCCCAAATCCCAAATGAGTTGAAAAGGAGGCACCGTGGATGTGGCATGGATGGGGGTTGGGGCCAGCGAGGGGTCTGGGCGTCTTCCCCCAAAAAATTTTGAATAAATTAGATGCGATTTCCTGCATTTTGGTATATTTTAATGGGTTGTTAAACATCTACGTTTACCTATATTTGCAAACACTCTTGTCATGCATCTTACTCTACCACCCCTTACTTGACGGTTCCGAGCCCGACTCTTCTTCGCTGAATTCACTGTCCTGCTTGTTGTTTTCCAACTCCACTTGTGAACCTCCAGGCACCTCCTCCATCTGTTCATGGCGGCTGGCTGTGGGCTCCTGCCTGGTTAGCTCGGCACTCACCCCCACACCACTCGCTCCTGCTCCAATCTCGATTGCCACTGCCTTAAGGTGCTTCAATTCTCTGTTGTCCAACTACAGACAACGAGAAGCCTTTTGTTTTTTATGAAGTAAACTGGACTGTCTTTTCTACATTTTGACCGCTTTTATTTTGACAAATTGGTGCCGCTGTTTTGATATGTAATGTGAATAATACACAAACATTTCTCTCGTTTTATTTTTTAATAAATAAAATAAATAATCAAAATTTTATTAATAACCCACTTAAACTGTCAAACTGACTTGCAATTTAGTTGTGCTGTTTACTTACATTTTTGAGTTTTTTAATAAAATTGAGCAATGACTCTGGACTTTAAGGGTAGAGATGGAAATGCTAATCGAAGAGGCAGCTCATATGTGATATTAAAGCCCCCAGTATACTCCTGCGTATGTCCATACGCGCGTACCTCCGCAGGGCGTGTCCGCGCAAAGCTCAATTTTTACGACCGCGTACATGGTGTCGCACAATGAACTACCCGGCGACGGACTGTTTTGTAATGTATTATGTAACCAATGTATTAAATTCCCCTTCTTCATCCCTGATCTGGCTTTTTTTGTTTTTTTGCCAAGAGGCAAGCAATCTCTTCCTCCTCCGTTGATGCCATGACTGAAATGGTGAGATATGAAGGAATTTGTCACGAGCAAATTAAAATCAGTCCCAGCGTGGCTGTAGGAGGGTCTGGAGATTTCCTGTTGTGCTGATCTGATGTGTGGGCTGCAGGGCCAGCGCTCCCTGTTTTTTTTTTTACTTTATATTAACAACATATAAACACAGAACACTGCTGCCAGCTCTCGTTTTTTTTCCCCCCCGACTTGTCAATCAGTCCAGTAGGCGTGTCAGCAAATGACCAATCGGTGACCTCAATTTGTCCCGAAGGTAAACGCCCCTTGTCTGCAGAGCTGCTCTGCAGCCGCTCAGGGTGGACGCTCGAGCATGAAGTCTCAACCCTCCATGTACGTACGCGCGGACGGACATACGCGGGAGTATACTGGGGGCTTAAGAAGCTCGTGACTGTTGTGTTTAAAACGAGTGTTTATGTAATTATTTTCAGTTTACATATTCAATATATAAAATTTATTCATTCAAGGCAGTAATATTTGTTTATAATTTTATTATTAGTAAGCCTGAGAGTTACTGGATCTAAGCAAACAGTTACCAGAACACACCCTGTCAAAATAAGAGTTCCCGGACACTGTTCCGGCAGGATCTGGCTCCAATTAAGCCCCGGTTACAAGAGATCCTGCCTGCCAACAGCCATCAGCATCTAGAACAATTCTTTAATGAAACCAGGATGAGTTACAACATTTAATTTATCTTTGGGGTTAATCAAGTATTTTTGAAGTGAATTTATGAACTTGTTGATATTTTGCGGTATTAATTTGAGCAATATTGCTGAAAGGTTTTGCTCTTTATTTTATTTGTTTTATATTTAAAAAAAGATGTAGCACAGTTTCAACTCTTCGGCTGTTTTATTTTCGTCTGTTTTCTGTCCGTGCAGCTAGCAAGCTAGCGGCAACCAGTGTTCTGCTGGACTAAACCAACTCAAAGCTTAGGGGAGGGGTGTAGAATGTGGCAATTCTTTTTAACGTATTTTTTTCGTTTGTAACGACAAACTCAAATTAGAATCAACAAACACTTCCTGTTTTTGTTTTATTTCTGGGGGTGATGTGTTTGTGCATCAAAAAACTCCAAGTTTGCACACTCGCTCCTTTAATCAGGCGCACAACGACACTCGCATGTGCTCCTGTGTTGTTTATCATGACTGTTGCGAACCCGCTGTTGAAAATGAATACAAAATAAACCTTAAAAAACCAAACTATGACCAATGCAGGTTTATAAAAAACGTATTCTTCAACCATTCTGCGTGGTTTTCTTGCCTCCAGAACGTAGTCCAGAGCCCCTGAGCGGAAGGCTCTGCGTGCATTGAGCAGAGCGTTGGTGGCATCCTCCACTTCGTGCTGCTTCCCTCGGGGAGCCTGAGCGTTCCTGGACAGCGCCGTCTCCAGCGTTTCGCTGCTGCGCTCAAACTCTTTACGCATGTCCTTAAACCCACGAATGTCTCTGTGGGGTAGGAGGGAAACAAATGAGGGCAATGTCATCTGATTTAATTGTTCTTATTTGTAAAATGTTAACTATTAAGAAAATGATCAAGTTCACCTTTAAGGTTTGGTTTTGTAAAGTGCATTTTTTTAAAGAAGCTACAATAAGAGAAAAAAAGCCTAGTTTCTTTTTAAATAAATATATATATATTTACTGCACATAACATATACCACATAGGTTGTGTGACAGGTTATTGCACAGGTAGGTTGAATTATTAGTTATTGCCAGTTGTTCAGTGTTATTTATTTATTGAGAGTTTAGTAATCTGACAGCTTGTGGATAATAGAGAACATGCAAACTCCACCCAGAAAGGTTCCTGGCTGAGATTTGAATTGGCAACCTTCTTGCCGAGAAGCAACAGACACTGAGGTCAGTTGTGGAACAAGAAAGATGTTGAAAAATGTACGGAAGAAAAACGGATCACAATAGAGTGAATGCTTCATAAACATTCACATAATAATACCGATGCCAACTTCATGCAGGTTAACACTGGGAACACAGAAATGACGTAACCTCTGAACAAAACAATCATGTCAGATAATAATGTAGTTGGCTCTGATTGCACAACTACGTTAGAATAAATCCATACATGCTAACATTTGTAGCAACCATGTTTACATCCGTAAACACAATGTGCTGCGTGTGGCATCTTTGTCTTCTTCTGCACATGAGGTTCACTTCAGGGCCATATAGAGTTCACATTGGGATCACATCGTATTATAGGACAGTCGTATTTAATAAAATAACTGGGGTGGCATGGTAGTGTTAGCACTGTTGCCTCACAGCATAAAGGTCCTGGGTTCAATTCCCGGTTTGAATTGTGGGTCTTTCTATGTGGAATTTGCATGTTCTCCTCGTGTTTGTGTGGTTTTTCTCTGGATGCTCCGGTTTCCTCCCACAGTCTAAAAACATGCATGTTAGGCCTTACATGCAAGAGATCTATGACCTCAGTGGGATTTGCCTCGTTAAATAAAGGCAAATGAATTAAGAAGAGAACCAAAAATTTAAAAAATCATATCTGAGAAAAAAAATTAGAATTTAGCATTAGGAGGGAACACAGTGTAAACATTCTTCATAGAATAAAGTCAATGTTTGATTTATGGGCAGAAGCTGTATTGACAACATTTAGAATAATAATAATAATAATAATAATAATAAAAAAATACTTTGATTCATGTTAATACCACAATAAGACTCATTAATAGGCCGGTCGCGATAAACAATAAATCAATTAATCGCATGATGAATGAAAATTATCGACCTCATATACATTTATCGGCTTTATTGTTTCTTCGCGTCTCTTTCTGAAGACACTGGATGACAAAGGCTCAAGTCCAGTGTTCTTCACTGATCCCTCCCTTTCTCTTTAAAATCCATTTTAACTGTCCAAAATCACGTTTTTGTAAAATGCAGCTAAGCTGAGAAGCTAAGCTACGAGCTAAGCTAACAGGCCGACTTAAGGAAAAAACCTCCGTCTTGTCGAAGCTCCAAAATTCACAGTTGAAACCCGTGTCTTTGTGTAAAAAGTTTTTCTTTGCAAAAAGAAGCGGAGAACTTGTTTACTGATTTTTTTTTTTTTAATTCAAAGCTTTGTGTGAAAAATGCTATGCTAAAGAGCTCAAACCACACCGAGCGTCCGCCATTTTGAGAACCAGAAAAAAGGCGAGTCAGCCCATGCTACGTCAAGGGGCCTCCTCACATTTTTCTTAGAGAGACACGCTACTCGCTCCCTCACTATCCATCCTTTGGTTCAAACAGTCTTATACTGCCATCCAGAGGTCAAAAAAGGTACTACACACAAAACAAATTAACCAACATTTTTTTCTTAAATTTGACAATAATTACTAATTATTGTCAAATTTCAAACAATATTGTTTATCGCAATAATTTCTGAGACAGTTAATCTCTCAGCAAAATTTGTTATCGTGACAGGCCTAGCATTAGCATTCTTATCTCTATTAAGGCTGTTCAGACCGCACTTCTTTAAATTTAATTTATAAATTTTGTTAAATCTTTATTCAAAAATTCTAATTAATATGTTACAGATGATTGGAATCCTGCGAGCTCAGAAGGTAAAACCTCTTTAAAGAGGAACAGGATCTAATAGCATTTACAGCCGGCTAATAAGTTAACCATCTTATTAAAAAGCACTCAAGTATTTAAACCAGTTGGAACAAACTATGTCGCAAAGTCTTGGAGGAGTTTTGATGGTTGAGAGACAATCATGGGAGTGACTCAACCTCAAAATGTTGCATCAATTACACTTTTGTTGTTGGGAAAGAAGCAGTAAATCCATGAGGATTAAACTAAACAAAACAAACAAATTAAAAAATGTTTCGTAAAAAGCAAGCGCCGTTCACTTACTCCTTCACGAAGGTGTGCAGCTTCATCTTCACTGCCTTCTGCGTGGTCTCGATCACTTCCTGAAAGGAGACCACAAACATTACAGTTAGCACTGGCAAGGTCTAATCTGTCCAGCGCCTGGTTTGACCACATACTGCAGCTGATAAACATCATGACTGGAACGAAGCAGCTACACAGGAACTAACAGACTCACCCCGTGTGCATCCAGTATGACGGACAGCTTCTTGGAAAATTTGTCCAAGCAGTCCTGCAGAGCAAAAACCTCAAATTAGGCTCCACTTTGCGCCAGATTTTAAAGCAATCATTTGAAGTGGGGTTCTCTAGAAAGGGTTAGCAACAGTGAATATCTTACCTGTTGTACATAGCACTTTGAATGACAGTTTGGAGGAATAGCGTTTAACTGGAACTGGACAGAGGAGCTGACGAGCCTTTAGCTCGTGACTCTGGTCAGAATTAAACTCTTTCTTCAAACGGTCGCTCAGAGAAGCTACCTGAGATATTATTTGTTCTCTCCACAGAACCTCACTTCAGAATATCAGGGCTATTGAAACTACACATACATCACATGAGTTTTTAAAGTGCATAATACGAATGAAATTATGTGTGCAAGGCGTGGTTCCTCACCTCCATCATCTTGTCCCTGGAGCACTGGTGTCCCAGCTCCCGGAGGCCGTTGACAAAGCTCTTGCTGGTGTGACAGTACGCTCTGCCTGCATCCAGCATGGCCTGGCATTGTTTCACAAGCTGAAAGATAGACAAGGAAAAACAGACTCAGAGCTGAACACTACGTAATACATGCATGAGCATCTTGAGGCCCGTGGAACACGTCAGTGGACTCATATGACACGCATATAAATGGTCAATAAAAATAAATAGAATACAAATCATTCTGCTTGCAAATCCTAAATATCTGCCTTTACTTTGAAATTGGCTTTTGATTTAGGGATATCAGTTGTAACTAACATTAAGCTAACTCATAATATCAGCAATTGTAGCTAACATTAGCTAAAACTGATTGTAATCGTGGTTAACATCAGCTGGCTAATAATGAAGCAAGTTGTAGCTACAGGTCCTTCTCAAAAAATTAGCATATTGTGATAAAGGTAATTATTTTCCATAATGTAATGATAAAAATGAAACTTTCATATATTTCAGATTCATTGCACACCAACCGAAATATTTCAGGTCTTTAATTGTTTTAATACTGATGATTATGGCATACAGCTCATGAAAACCCAAAATGCCTGTCCCAAAAAATTAGCATATTTCATCGCACCAATGAAAGACAAGTGTTTTTAATACAAAAAACGCCAACCTTCAAATAATCATGTTCAGTTATGCACTCAATACTTGGTCGGGAATCCTTCTGCATGAATGACTGCTTCAGTGCGACGTGGCATGGAGGCAATCAGCCTGTGGCACTGCTGAGGTGTTATGGAGGCCCAGGATGCTTCGATAGCGGCCTTAAGCTCATCCAGAGTGTTGGGTCTTGCGTCTCTCAACTTTCTCTTCACAATATCCCACAGGTTCTCTATGGGGTTCAGGTCAGGAGAGTTGGCAGGCCAATTGAGCACAGTAATACCATGGTCAGTAAACCATTTACCAGTGGTTTTGGCACTGTGAGCAGGTGCCAGGTCGTGCTGAAAAATGAAATCTTCATTTCCATAAAGCTTTTCAGCAGATGGAAGCATGAAGTGCTCCAAAATCTCCTGATAGCTAGCTGCATTGACCCTGCGCTTGATAAAACACAGTGGACCAACACCAGCAGCTGACATGGCACCCCAGACCATCACTGACTGTGGGTGCTTCACACTGGACTTCTGGCATTTTGGCATTTCCTTCTCTGTCATTTTCCTTCTTGTTTTTCTTTTACAATTTATACCTTTGTTGGACGTAACTGGGACCCTGCGTACACAATTTTGTTCCACTGCATGTACCACATACAATGCGAATGACAATAAAGAAACCTTAACCTTGACGAATACAGGAATAAATGTGTCATTTCAACACAACTGGCATCCTTCACTATGGCATTTTATGTTACAATTTTAAACTTTGTCTTCTTTTTTAAATTTGCACAAATAATTTTAACATAAAGCAATCAGAACTTTTTTCCTGACTTGCCCTTGACAAAGACGGTCGCTCTTCTTCCCTCTCTCCGTCTCTGCTTTGCTCTTTGTCTTGTGAACCATTTTCAGAGCCCCTTTTTGCACACCTTCCGAACTGTATAAACTATGGATTTATTCAGCTGGTCTCTCAATGCAATTGATCAAATTTTCTCAACAAGACGACAGGGTGAAGGAGAGCCTTCTTACTTTGGAAACATTGGATTTATGATAACTGGATTCTGTTTTTTTGGAATCAGTGGAAATCTGAATTACCAACAAATTTGGAAACGTCAGCAGCTGTTTAAGCTGTCTGGAATGTGTGTGCCGGGCTTGGCAACACTCAGACTCAGTGCAAACTATCTGTGGACCTGTATCAGAGCTGAGCAGGCAGGACTGTGGCACTTCTGGCAGTGTTCACGGACGGTTGCAAGGAATAGATCTTGGAGAAGTTGTAAAAGCCTGACTTTGGCGTAAGTAATCACAATTAGGCAGTTTGGAGTCGCCATGAGATGTACTAGCGAGACGGTAAAGGCAAGCGCGGAAATTAATGAGCTCGGCCTGACCCTAAACAATGTTGAAACCTGAATATGGCTCTGGCCTTGGAAGGCTGACTATCTCAATTTCTCCTAGGATGTTTTTGGAAACCAGACACAAGCACCCCCCCAGAGAACATATGTGGACCCTTTCAGAGTTGTATCGGCTGAGAGACACTGTAACAGCCTTTATCAAGACTATGGAAACTATCTGGAAGTGTTCATGGACACTCTCACCGTCTTGTCGCGACTCTTCCCTTTTCTTATCTAAGCGATAAGGGCAGCGCTTCATAGAAGCTGCAGCCCCGGCCGGTACACTTCCGTCTACCCTTTGGACAGCTGTACGGAATGTAATTTCACTGTACTTAACTGTGCAATGATAATAAAGCTGATTCTGAAGTGCAAATAAAATGGCATTTATGGGTAATTTTCATTGAGCTGCTTAGTTTTAAGGTTCTGCTTTTGGCTCACTAAGACGCTGCCACTATTTTTTTAAAAGACATTTCAATAAAAGTTATTATTCTTACCCACTTAGCCACTAATGTGGTTTTAATGCTATGCACTGAAAAGAGCTAACAGCCAATATATCTGTCAAGTTGCACAATCGGACAGGATGATGAAAAACATGGTGTTAACTCTATATCAGGAAGTTTACCAGGTTTCCTGATTTCACATAACAGTTAATAGTTGCAGAACGCTAGTTCATGGGCAACATGCACTTAAGTCAACAGTATCAATTCTGAAACACAAGTGAAGTTTTAAGATACTTGAGTTGATATTTTATGCAACCTCTTCATATAATGTAAAAAAAAAATAAACGTGTGTTGATCGGCTACACCCTCACTCTGGTGTGAAGGAGTTTGTTACAATACACTACAATTAAAATAACGATCCATAGATCTTTTTTGTGATGACAACTTTTTGTTGTATTTTTGAGTTTTATCATCAACCATTGCATAAAGCTGAATGTGGCCCATGGAAATCCCTTCGTTTAATGCTCCCCTTTAAATATACAGCTGGCATTTACTCCAGACTAATAAAGATGGAGTTTTCAAACCAGCACTTTTGTAAACAAAACTAGCTCGTTGCCAAACTAGGTGATAAATAACCAAATTTAAACAAACTTTAATAATTTTGAAGCTTGTGAGACGGTGAATTTGAAAATGATAACTCCATATTGAAAATTACCCCATTGTGTCAGCCTCCCCACCATCACAGACATGTACACCTCCAGATGCAGGAAGTGGGCCACCTGCATCATGAAGGACCCCACTCACCCAGCACACACACTTTTTGCCCCGCTCCCCTCAGGAAGGAGGTTGAGAGACAGAGGAACAGCTTCTACCCTGAAGCTGTTAGACTCATGAATATCTAACTAGAATAATCACTGTGAAGAATCACATCATGTTGCTGCTCATCTGTTTCATGTTGCTGCTGATCTGTTTCATGTTGATGTGTTCATTCGTGCTCATCTGCTCTCACAGACTCATGTTCGTGCTGCTTTTCGACGTATTGTTTTTATGTTACTAGTGCTTAGTGTATTTTTAGTTAACGCTTTTCTTAGTTCATATCTTAGATCTTATTACCGTTTTTCTTTTACATTTTATACTTTTGTTAGATGTAACTGTGACCCTGTGTACACAATTTCTTTCCACCACATCTGCTGTGTATGACAAATAAAGAACCTTTGAACCCTTGTGACTCATTTTGCCGGCACAGGTCACCAATTTAGTTTTTTCCAAAATGGCCGATCCAGATGAGCCACCTTAGCCAACACAAACACGGCAAAAATTGAAGACAAACGTACAGATATTGAGCTTAAATTTGGTGTGGCAGTAGCTGAGAGTCATCCTAAACACAGACTTTGAGTGTCCAAAGGTCTGACTATCACATGAGATTGTACACAATGTAATTTACAAGGTTTGACAAAAATAGCTTCATTCCATCTACTTTCTTGATACAATCTTAGTTCAATACTGGCACAGTTCTTTAAGGAACACTAGGTCTTTATAATGAGAGTTGTCATGCGGTTTTTTTTGTGGTATTACAGTAAAAGGACACTACTTTTCATGATCTGAAAGTAAAATACTTGAAGTTTTTAGGACAGCAGATACACCCAATATATTTTCTGCCAAGGGGAATAACTTTAGACAATAAATAAATAAATAAATAAATAAATTATCTGTGCACTTCTGTCATGTTGCAGCATGAAGGAAACAGAGAAGGAACACAAAACAATCTCATCAAAAAGCACCTCGTCCTTTTCTTTGACAGAGATAAAAGTTCTGCCCAACAGAACTTTTGTGAACTTAGTGTTGCACAACCCTGAGAACATTGACCTTTTTAACCCCCACTTGGCCCACTTTTATCACCCGCTGCAGAACATAACTCACTCGTTCGTCTCATGCTTTGCAGGTGTTGGCTTTTTTTTTTTTTAACTAAATGCACAAAACCTGACTTTCACGGTCACGAACAGCCCACTAATGCGACATATGGGTCCCATCGGGGAACCGAAATACAGCATGTGATGGACAGGTCTATCAGTTGAATAGATCTGAAACTGTAGCCGTATGATCGCAGACATTCGTCTGAGAAAAAATAAATAAAAAGAGGTTATGTCACTGAAGCAGAACAACGTGTGGTTCTCTCATTAGGAGGACAATGTGATGAGGAAGCAGCACCAGCAGATACTTCCTGCTCAGTTCAGGTAAACGTTCCCTCAACCACCAACGTCTATGTCTCACTTCACTGCATGTATGGAAACTTAACATGACCCATACCTGTGTGTGTGTGTGTTACAGCACAGCGGTGTGCATGTGTGAGGGTCTTACCTTTTCCAATCGACTCTCGAGTTCAATCACGTCGTTCTGGACCACTTCAATTTCCGCCCTGAAAAAGGCGACACAGACGCAACAGTTAACAGAACTGTTGTTAATGATTATTATAAGAACTTCAAGCAAATTTAAGACTTTTGTACGTTTTGTTAGTTATTAGTAGAAAATGGCTGCACATTAATAGAAAAATGTGCCTTTGTTTTACTTTTGTTGAATAGTGATGAAGACATACAGTCACGCCCCCGATTGTTACTTTGTGTTGCATCTTTCATTTGGTTTCATAAATGGACCGACTAACAGAAGAGGTCAGGCAGGAATCCCCGTGGGTTATGACGTAAGCAGATGACAATGTGATCTGTGGTGAGAACAGGGAACAGGTGGAAGAGAACTTGGAGAGGTGGAGGTATCAACTGTCCAGGAAAATGGGGAGTGTGGTAAAGAGGTGAAGAAGAGAGTCCAGGCAGGATGGAGTGGATGGAGAAAAGTTTCAGGAGTGATTTGTGACAAAGGGGTGTCAGTAAACATCAAAGGAACTGTTTACAAGACAGTGATGAGACCAGCTATGTTGTATGGTTTGGAGACAGAGACAAAAAGACAGGAGGACAGAACGGGATGTGTCAGAAATGAAGATGTTGAGGTTCTCCTTAGGAGAGACAAGGCTGGATACGATTAGGAATGAGATCATCAGAGGTACAGCACAGGTTGAACAACTGGGAGATAAAGTTAGAGACCAGACTGAGATGGTTTGGACATGTCCAGAGGAGGGACAGCGGGTATGTATTTGGGGCAGAGATGGGGTAGAGGTAGGGCAGCCAACCTGGGACCAGAAAGTCTCGGTTTGACTCTCAGCCATTCTCGCATATCGTGGTGTCTCTGAGCAAGACACCCAATCTCCAATTGCTCCTCGGGCACTTACATAGCCGCCCACTGCTCCACCTGGGCGTATCCCACGTGTGATGGGTTAAATGAAGAGAACTAACTTCACCTTTGTATGGAAACCTACAATGATAATCTCAAACTTCCTCCCTCCCTATGTTGGTAGAAGGATGTGAGACATGCAGCTGCCATGAAAAAGACAGAGCAGATATATGGATGTGTTTAGAGAGGACATGGAGGTAGATGGAGTGAAAAAATCTAAGCATTAGCTAAAAGCTAAAAAGACCAGGACATTGGTTGAACAGTAGCAAAACACCAACTAAAAGATGAATTAAAAAAAGCAACACAAGCTAAAAAATAGAAAAATGATGGCTAAAAGAAGCTAAATGTTAGCTAAAAGCTAAAAGTTGCAAGACAAGCTAAAAGTAGTAAAATACTTTTTTTTCTTGATTTTTTTTTTTTAACATTTAGAAGATTACAAGTGCTCAATATCACCTCAGGGCCACAGTTCCAGTCTGTGATCACTGTCAGAATTCCTTCTCTTTAACATTTCCATTTACATCATCAGACAAACAACAACCATAAAACAGACAATAGTAAAAGACTAGTTAAAGTAGCAAAAGGTTAGTTAAAAGTAAAATGATAACCCCAAGAAAAATGTAGTAGAAGAAGCACAATGCTAGCTAAAAGCAAAATTAGTAAAATAATAGCTAGAAGTAGTAAAATACTAGCTCAAAGCTAAAAGGAGAACAACAGAAACTAAAAGTTAAAAATAGACCAATGATGGCTAAAAGAATCAAAACGTTAGCTAAAGTCTAAGTCACAAAAGGATAGCTAAAGGCTAAGAGGAGAACAAAACTAGCTATAAGCTAAAAATAGACAAATGATGGCTAAAAGAATCAAAAGGTTAGCCACAAAAGGCTAGCTAAACGCTAAAAGCAGCAGAACAACATGAGATAAAAATAAACAAACGATAGCTAAAGATTCAAAACATTAGCTAAAAGCTAAAAGTGACAGGGCACTAGTTTAAAAGTAGCAAAACAATAACTAAAAGCTAAAAATGATAGTTAAAAGAAGCAAAAGGTTAGCTAAAAGCCAAAAGTCATGAAAGGTTACCGTAGTTAAAATTGGCACAACACTAGCAAAAAGCTAAAATAGACAAATGATGGCTAAAATAATCAAAAAATTAGCTATAAGATAAGTCACAAAAGGACAGTTAAAAGCTAAAAGGAGAACACAAGCTAAAAGCTAAAAATGGACAAATGATAGCTAAAAGAATAAAAATGTTAGTCACAAATAGCTAAATGCTAAAAGGGGAACAACATGAGCGAAAAATAGACAATAGCTAAAATAATCCAAACATTAGCTAAAAGTTAAAAGGACACTAGTCAAGCAGCAAAACACTAGCTGAAGCTAACAACACTAGCTAAAAGCTAAATATAAAAAATGATGGCTTAATGAAGCTAAATGTTAGCTAAAAATTAAAAGGAGAACACTAGCTAAAAAAAGACAAATGATAGCTAAAAGAATCAAAACATTAGCTAAAAGTAGCGAAAGACTAACAGAGCAGCACAAGAAGACAAAAATCGAGCAAGTTTGCTGAAGTTGATTTCATAGAAAACTATTTTTGTAACAGAAAAAAATGCTTTTGTATAGAAAATGTTTGAAAATAATGTTTAACGTTTTGAGAAATACAAAAGTTCTAAAAACTAAAATTCACAGCATCCATTTACTGAATGAGCCAAATGTTTTATATACAAATAGCTAAAACAAAAAGTTTGTAAATTACAAATATATATATATTTTTTTTTATTTGGAATCGGCATTCCTTCAAATTTACATTCTCATTTTAGAAAACAGGCTCAAAAGTGAAATACTGGAAACGTTATAAAAGAAATTAGAAACATAGTAATTTTACAACCTGGTAATCTCAATCTACCGTAGTTCTAAATATTCTTTCAAAGTTTATTCTCTAAATAGACCGTTTTCATTCTTTTTTCCTGAACGTCACTGGAAACTGCAGGCTTTGCTCTTACTGCCACAAGAGTCCAGCTGACGTGCAGCTCTCATGTCAGGCGTGTTTCTGCGCTCGGCATGACGTGTTTGGTATTTTTAGAAACTCGGCAACCTTCAACACAATCTGAAAGACGTTCATTTGGGTTTGAGTGAAGTTCTGGGGACGAAGCCTGAATAGGAAAAGCACCAAAGTACGAAAAGCTTAAATGTTTAAGTTGTGTTCTGGGGTTTGGCTCTTATCAAACATCTAACATGACAGGTATTCAGAACTGTGTGTGGCAGGTTGAAGCGTCAGCTCATGTGGTTTCCGCTGCACAGAAACAAGAAAGAGACGAGTGAGCGAAGACGAGACCAGTTTGTGTTCATTAGTGCAAGGGTGTCTGATTGAGTCTGAGGTCACGTCCTCCTGAAACACAACCAAATAAGTCAGTGGAGGAAAAGAGGAGGAGAGGAGGCCACGGAGACGACGTTCTGCGATAATCTATCTCGAGCGAAGGAGCAAACGAAGACGAGAGTTTCCGCCGCGGTTCTCCCTGCAGGAAACGCACTTCCTGTCTTCTGTTGATCACCTCAGCACATCTCGCCTCGCTTCCTGCTGCTCTCCCACCGCACGGTTACCTAGCAACAAGACGTAGTACATCTGAGCAGTTGACCAAATGCTGTTACAACAGCGCGCAACCCCCCCCCCCCCCCCTCATTCGGTCTTCTCTACATGGCGGCTCAAACTTTCCTCGGTCAACTCACGAAGACGAGACGGGCAGACGAAGACAAAGGACGGTGGACATAAATCAGCTGAAAGTCAGTGTGACTGGCACGGGACAAGAAGTGGGTGGGGGTGGGGTGGGGGCACACCCATGGTCTTGAGCCATTTGCAAAATCTGCTGCGTGACACTTCCCTTTAGATTACACCAGACGGTGGTGTTGAAAGAGAAAAAAAACACACTTGGTCCGTTTGCATGTGTCCAACTCAAGGCCCGAGGGCCAAATGTGGTCCTTGTAAACGTCTTACACGGTCCCCAAGATGCTTTTTTTTTTTTTAAATGCAAGAAATATTTATGGCCTCTCATTTTGCTTAAAAACCGAGCACGCTTTATGACGTTGAAACAAATCTGAATTCTTCAGGACTTTTTGATTTTGACGTGGAAAGAGCAACAGAGAGCATCAAACGTGACCGATCAAACTCTTGTTGAGGAGAACCAAGAAGCGACGTCTGGTCTCGATCGAAACTTAAACCAAGTTTTTAATTTTGACCCAGTTTTATAACGGAGTTTGACACTGACACCCCCCCCCCCCACCACCACCTTAAAGGAACAGTTCAGAGCTTTTCAAGTTGGAATTCTGTGGGAAAGTTATGACAATTACTATAAAGTCTAGGGGTGCAACGATTGCAGTTTTCTGGTCGATCACGAGCCCCGATTTCTAAAAGATCTGACCTGCCGATTCCGATTTTGGCTGACAGTGATACAATCGGTTTCTCGTGTAAGTATCGTCCGATTTCCCAAAATTAAGGAAATCGGGCCGATTTATCGATGCACCCCTAATCAAGTCAACCTGAATTCATGAGTAATCGTTTATTTTTTTTCAAGAATTTGACATTTGTCCCATCCTGTCCTCTCCACTCCGCCTACAAGCCACCGCTGCAAACTTAAGACCAACTTGAAGCAATTTGCGCTCCTCACAAGAAGAGCTTAACGTAGCGCAACAGCTATGAACAACGATCTGTCCTCTTAGCGAGCGCTAATCTCAGCTGCTGCATTATGATTCAGAACGTTGCTCGTTTCATGTTTTGGCCTAAAGTCTGACCGCCTCCACGCGGCTGGAGCTCGAGGTGAATTCAAGTTTACTCACTTCAAGTCTTGAAAAACCTTCAAAATGAAACAGAGGCTTCAGGTGCAGAGACCTGTGCTGCTGCTAATTCTGCTAGCTGGAGATTTTTTTATTTACATTCATTTTAACCGGGCCAACTAATCAACAGTCATTCATTCAACTTTTATTTATACAGGCTAGTCTCATTGAGTCACGAGGACTTATTTACAAGATGGACCTGTTCCAGACAGAGCATATAGACAAGAATAACGGTAGACAATAACAACAAAAAACAACAGTAAAAATGCAGATAAAATAAGTGTTGTATATAAAATAAATCAGGGTGCTGTACAACAGGGTGAAATACTAAAAACAAGAACATGTCTGCCTTAATTTTTCGATTGGCATTATCAAATGTTTGAAACCCCTTAAAGAAATCAAGGTGGACAACTTCAGTTCCTGTTGCAAGGTGATCCAGGTTGCTGGAGCTGAGTAGAAAAAGGCCTTTTTGCCAAGTTCGGTTCGCACTGATGGAACGCTGCAGGTAAAGATGTCCTGAGAGCGCACGCTGTAACTGCACTGATGGCGTAACATGTGGGAGGAGATATAAGAAGGAAGCAGACCAAGGAATGATCTATAGATGAAGCTGTACCAGTGTGAGAGCCTACGTGTAGATAATGATGACCAAATGACCAAGCAGTACAGAGTGCAGTGATGGGTACGGTAGTACCGGTTATTAATCTTAGCGCGCCATGATAGACAACATTTAACATCTGCAAGGAGCTGGCAGGGGCATTCATGTAAATAATGTCACCAAAGTCAATGGCTGGTTGGAAGTAGCGGTTACAAGGTGTTTTCTGGCATTCAGAGTTAAACAAGATCTATTTCTGAAAAATAAACCCAGTTTTAGTTTCAGTTTCTTTATCAAGATTTCAACATGCAGCTTAGAAGAGAGATGTGCATCGACCAAAATTCCCAAGTATTTGTAAGAACCTACAAACTCGATAGGAACACCATGCATGGGTGAGATAGGACGAGTTGCTGGCACCGACTTTCTGTTGGAGAGCAACATCCCTTTGGTTCTGTCAGCATTTAGCACCAGCTTGAGATGAAATAAGTCTGACTGAATGATGTCACATGCAGAGTGTACAAGCTGGAAAACCTTGGTAACTGTGTTAGCTCGGCAATAAATAACAGTGTCATCGGCATAGAGATGTAAGGATGCGTCAGGAATGTTTTGACCTACATTATTTATATAAATTGTAAAAATAGTGGGACCGAAAACTGAGCCTTGTGGCACAGTTTTTTGACAACACGGAGTGGGAAAATGAGTGAGTATGACCGCAACGCACTTTTGGAGTTTTGTGTGTCGTTGCCTTGCCATCCTGCCATCGTGGTTCAGTTCCCAGTTCCCTTACAGCCTCGGGCTCAGGCTCTAGCCTGTCATGGCAACCATCTCCATGATCCTCCATCTGCCTGCACCGACTGAACTCTACGGAACAGTTCGGTTTCGCGGGGAGACCTTGGATGTTCTGTGTCTGCCGGACCCAGTTCTGGAGGGCTGTCATCGTCTGTTGCCGCGGTCGTTATTATCATCACGCTGCTAACGGGACCACGCCGCTAACACAAAGACGCTGCTAACAGTACCATGCTCCTAAAAGAACCTCACTGCTAACAAGACCATGTTGCTAACAATACCACACTGCTAACAGTACCATGCCGATAATGGGACCAGTTGTCAAAAGAACCACACTGCTAGAACCATGCTGCTGTATTCCTTTTTCACTTTTGGCACCTTGTTTTTGCATTTTTGTTCCACGCTTTGTCATTTCTTGGGTTTTTTTGGCGAGTGAAGACGGTTCTTCTCATCCTGAGCATTTCATTATTGTTGACTTTGTGTTGACCTTGTGTTGACCTTGTGTTGACCTGCATATGACAAATAAACCTAAACCTAATATAGTATTCAGACAGCAACGCTGAGCTCCCCCATGACCATGGTTTCTACTTCATAATCCTTTCAAAATAAAGTGCAATGGCAGAAACGGATGCTAGACCGCTCTGTATGTTTTCTTTCACTTCTTATGTCTTGAGAGGGTGGATGGGCTGTAGGTGTTGTGTTGAAAAGTGTATGCGGACTGGAAAAGTACCATTAGGAACCAATTTGGTGTGCGACTACCAGATGATTGTGTCGGTTTCTTTCATTTTTGCCCATTTCAACTCGACTTTAAATAATCATAAAACACAGCCAGTCCATAGTTTACCTGTTAAAGAACACTTTCTGAATGAGCTCAGGTGGATACAAATCTAAATTTAAACTTTTATCAATCTGAGCTCATCCAGAAAGGTAAAATATAAAATATGGACATGAAAAAGGTCCAACTTGTTTCCTTCTACAGCTCAAACTGGTGGTGGTTTTTCTGCCCTGCATCACTGAGGGACAAGCTCAGGTGAGCTCTTACCTGAAGCGCGGAGAGTCCTTCAGACACTCCTCAAAGTCCAGCTTCACCGTCATCCTCCCTGACACCAGAACACCTGGATGGACCTGAATCCTCACTTCAACCCGAGCAGGACAGCTAGAAAGTAGATTTTCCTCAGTTTCAGCGATCCACTTTGACACCTCGGCTCATGGTCGTCTGGATTAATATTTTTTTTGGTACTCCTCCGCCGCAACAAATAGTCCCGTTCAGCTTCAGTCCGGAGACGGCTTGTCACCACTTCTGGGTGAAGTCAGACTCAGTCTGCGGCTTCATTACCATCTTATTCTGTTGAATAAATTTTAAAAAAGTACGTGCTCTGTGCTGGAGGACAATAAAAATGTCAGTTTCCCTTAGAATAAAAAGATAAATGTGAGTAAAAAAAGGTAAAAAGCCTGTGTGTCGTGGACCTCCCAGGGCTGAGTACTAACACACACACATTGCAGGAGGTCCAACCCCTCTCTGCATCACTTCTCACCACTTCCGGGTTGTTGTTTTTTTAAACTCGGAGCAAATTGTGGTTTTTAGAAGCAGCTTGAAATGAGAGAGGTTCCACTTCAAAGCCTCGAGTAGCTGTCATTAACTCCTCCAAGCTGCTTCATGTGAACTCACGGACATGTTTGTTTTAATACGCACACGCAGCAGCAGGCTGTGATGGCGTGTTTGCAGCCCTCAAGATGTTTGCATGGTTCCACTGTCTGTTTGGGTTTCAAACTCCTCGCTTTCATTGACCCGTGTGAGCTTCGTGTGTCCTGAAAGCTTGGGCGTGTATTCTTGTCTGGTAACTTCTGTTTTGTTGCTGTGGAAGCTCTAAAACCTGTTCACGGGTTTACCACTCCCAAAGATTCAAATGTACGGAAGCACATTACTGCCAAAAAAAAAAAAAAAAACTTTTTTTTTTTTAAATGTGAATGCAGCAACCCAAATTTTCTTCTGTAAAATCCAATTTGGCACTTACTTTTTTAATATTGTAAGACAAAATGCCTATATGTATAAACTGTACAACTCCACAACCAAGAAAAAAAACACTGCTGCCTCTACAACTACTGCAAGAAAACTGCATTCAACCTTTATTTATATAGGCTAGTCTCATTGAGCCACGAGGACTACAACAGGGACCTATTCCAGACAGAACATATAAAGTACGGATAACAATAATAAAAATGCTGTTAAAATAAAAGTAGTGTTATAAAACAATAAATCAGGGTGCCGTAAAACGAGATAAAATACTAAAAACAAGAACATATTTGCTTTGGTGTTTTTATTGACATTATCAAATGTTTAAAATCCCCTAAAGAAATTAAGGTGGACAACTTCGGTTCCTGTTGCAAGGTGTTCCAGGTTGCTGGAGCTGAGTAGGAAAAGGTCTTTTTGCCAAGTTCAGTCCACACTGGAACGCTGCAGGTAATGATGTCCTGAGAGCGCGCGTTGTAACTGCACTGACGGCGTGACATGTGGGAGGAGACATGAGAAGGTAGCAGACCAAGGAGTGGTTTATAGATAAAAATGTACCAGTGAGAGAGCCTACGTGTACATAATGATGACCAACTGACCAATAAGTACAGGGTGCAGTGATGGGTACAGTACCTTGGCAACTGTGTTAGCTCGGCAATAAACAGTGTCATCAGTACAGAAATGCAAGGACGAGTCAGGAATGTTTTCATCCATCTATTATCTTTTACCCGCTTCTTCCATTTGGGGTCACGGGGGTCGCCGGAGCCCATGTCCTGCAATCACTGTGCGAGGGGCGGGGTACACCCTGAACAGGTCGTAAGTCCATCACAGGGACACATAGAGACAAACGAGACAAACAACTATTCACTCTCTCACTCACACCTAGGGACAATTTAGAGTTACCAATCAGCCTAACATGCATGTTTTTGGTCTGTGGGAGGAAACCGGAGCACCCGGAGAAAACCCACGCATGCATGGAGAGAACATGCAAACTCCACCCAGAAAGGCCCCCGAACCGGGATTTGAACCAGGGACCAGCTCACTGAGAGGCAGCAGCTCTACCAGTTGCGCCACCGTGCTGCCCGTCAGGAATGTTTTGACCTACGTTATTTAGATAAAATGTAAAATTTGTTTGTCCGTTTAATTTCTTTTGACTTTGACCATGTTCCTCTATGCTGGAAAATCCCTTTGTATAATGTTCGTTACCAATCTGAAGCTCTGAGGTTCTCGTTTTTGAAATATAGAACTTGAATTACAAATGGGGGTCACTCCAGATTAATAAAAAAATATTCAAAACAGCTCTTTCAGAAAACAAAACTAGCTTGTTGCTAAACCAGGTGAAAAACAACAATTTAAAAACAAAGGTAGGTAGTAGAATATTATAGTATAATGTGCATTTTTATTTTTTACAATTTGTTGTCCTGTTGGACTTCCTGAAGGTCTGTCGGTTAAGGCGGCCATTTTGAAATGGGTTGTCCTCAACCAAATGTGATGATGGCACTTCGCGTCCTCCGTATTTACCAGTCTTCGCTTTGGTGACGAAATGGTAGCAACAAAAGAACAGAAACAGGGCTTTAATGCCGCCATGAACTTAATGGCATATTTCTGAAAGGATTGTATAATTTTAGACAAAACATTAAAATAAGCACAGATAAAAATAATGACCATACAAAGACTTTTAGTCTTCGGGCCACGAAAAGTTTCCATAATGACCATTTTCTCAAAATGGCTGCCAGATAACCAGTTTGACATAATGAACTTTGGTTGTAGGCAAATTACAATCATAACCTTGGTGTCCATGTCAGTTTTATATGCAGGGTGCATTGGTAGCCATTAAAAGCTATTACAGATGGCAGACATCTTGAACTGATAAAATGACTGCCAGCAGATTGACATTTTAAGTCCATATCTTGTCTAAATATATGTTAAGGGTTTTAAATGTGACGACGGACACAAAAATGCATTTCAAATAGCAGAAGTGTTGCATTTTAGACAAGTGGTGCACAGGAAAACAGTTTTTACCTGTAAACTAAGGTGATTAAATCTTTCATTAGGTTGGTGATAAGACTGCTGGTGATAATTCACAGTAAATGCATCTTAACGACATTTAATTACAATTCAACACAAGTTAGCAGCTAATATAGACATTTATTGTCATAATGTGTGCAAAAGTAACAAGATGGTGCTAAACAAGGATGATTTGATAAATATAAACGTTTGCGTCTGGTGAGTTTGGCTCCCCCTCGTGTTCAGAATAAGTACTGCAGGCACGAACAGCCGTCTCATCGGAAAACAATGAAGTGTTTGGAGTTGGCTTTTCTTGCATCACGCTGGTCCTAAACACTCAACATCTGCAGCATGATGACGCATTCACGGACCGCCTCAGCACTTAAAAGGTTTCTGTCACACTTCTGTCTCCAGGCGCCAAAGAAATGTTGTAGTTAGTTATCTGTCGTTGCCAAGTCCCAAACAAACATAAAGGGTCTGATTAGTCACCAAACATGTGTTCAAAAAAAAATGAAGAGGAAACGTTCCAGACGTCAAACGCATTTTTATCTAATGTGCGCTCTTTAGTTTCCTCAGGTGTGACACCTGTCAGAGAAGTTGCGCCAACAAAACGCGGTGAAAACGCACGCAAAAGGCGCAAAGTCCTCCCTGGAGCGAAACTGTCCGAAAGGACTTTAAACTGACAAAAACTCTGCTTCTAAATGGGTTCCTAGGTGCATGTTTGTCTTTGACAGGAGATCCCCCAAACGCTTGTCCAAGCACACACAGATTTGATATGTCACGTAATATCCGGTCATATTTTCAAAGTAAAGGCCTAAATTGGGTGAAACTCCTGGCTAGCATCTTCCTAAAATAAAACAAGATCAGCTGTTATCACACTAGTGTTTATGAGGATCTCTCCCTCTCTTATTATTATTTTTTTTAGACGTTTGTGATACTCTTAAAATAAAAAAAAAATAAAAAAGCTTGTTTATCTTTATTGATTTATGACCTAAGAACTTTGGAGCTGAAAAATCCCAGAGAATAGACAAATCAAATCAGCAGAATATGTCGGATGAAAACTGCAAAACGTGTTTTAAACAAGCACAGCTGGGACAAAAGATGAGGCCACCAGCAGTTTGATCTTTGCTGGAAAGGTGCATGTCAGGGACGCAGCGTGGCCTAACATCAGAATACGAACGTATGTCATTTGAATTAATTTACCACCACAAAGACCTCTGACAAATGTGTTTGGCAAAACATACAATATATCATTTAAAACGTGGAATTTAATGTGAAAACTACAAAACAACATGTACAATCTGTGGGATTACATGTGAAACCCATAGAATAAAATGTAAAAACCCATTGGGATACATGTGAAATCCTAGAGATCACATAAAACTATAGAAATATTTTATATACCGTAATATAAAATTATATATAAAAATAAGTAAAGTAAAATATTTTATTTAACTATAGCCCTATTCTATTTTAATGTGCTTTTTTGTCTTTCCTCTTAGAGAGGGACCCTCTTGCCTGCCATTGTGTATCTGTTCCTCCTTCCTGTTCCGCTCAAATGGCCGCCCGTCCTGAGCCTGGTTCTCCTGGAGGTTTCTTCCTGTTAAAAGAGAGTTGTTCCTTTCCACTGTTGCCTCTGTGCTTGCTCAGGATGAGAGACTGATGAAATGAAGACTCAACACAATCTGCTGTCTTATCTTAGATAAATAATGTTACTAACTGAATTTTTATGTATGTGAATGATTTTGTACCCAGAGACAACTTCTGTTGTAACGTATAAATAAACTGAATTGAAATACTCAAAACTATAGAATGACATGTAAAAATTGTTGCATTTCAAGTGAGTACTACATGCTCATATGTTCAACCTGCATGATAAAATCTTATGAAATTATTTGTAAAATCTATGGAATAACATGAAACGTGTAGGAGCACGTGTGATACCTTTGAAGTTTTGAGAAAGGATTGTTTAATAAACCTGAAAACACAAAAAACAAGTCCTATGCCAGCATTAGCCTTAGGCTTGTCATTAGCTCTAGGCTAGCCATTAGCTCTAGGATAGCCATTTGAGATATTAGCTTTAGAACAGCCATTAACCCTAGCCATTAGCACAAGGCTAGCCATTAGCTCTGGGCTGGGCATTAGCCCTAGGCTAGTCATTAGTTCTAGGCTAGACATTAGCCCTATTTTAGCCATTATCTCTAAGCTATCCATTAGCCCTAGGCTAGTCATTAGTTCTAGGCTAGACATTAGCCCTATTTTAGCCATTAGCTCTAAGCTATCCATTAGCCCTAGGCTAGCCATTAGCTCTAGGCTAACCATTAGCCCTATTTTAGTCATTAGCTCTAAGCTATCCATTAGCCCTGGGCTAGCCATTAGCTCTAGGCCAGTCATTAGACTTAGGCTTGCCATTAGTTCTAGACTAGCCATTAGCTCTAGGATTGCCATTTGAAATTTTAGCTTTAGGACAGCCATTAACCCTAGCCTAGCCATTAGCCCTAATTTAGCCATTAGCTCTAAGCTATCTATTAGCCCTAGGCTAGCCATTAGCCCTATTTTAGCCATTAGCTCTAAGCTATCCATTAGTTCTAGGCTAGCCATTAACCCTATTTTAGCCATTAGCTCTAAGCTATCTATTAGCCCTAGGCTAGCCATTAGCCCTATTTTAGCCATTAGCTCTAAGCTATCCATTAGTTCTAGGCTAGACATTAACTTTAGGATAGCTATTAGCTATATGTTAGCATTAGCTCTAGGCTATCAATTTGCATTAGGCTAGCCTGGACAAAGCTTTTTGCCAGAACCTCACTGACCTAACCTGACTGGCCTAGACACAAAGCAAGATCTTTGAACAAGGCCAGGCTGATTCTGGCAGATCCTGATCATCCACTCCACAGTGAGTTCATGTTGCATCCATCTGGACACGGGTATCTGCCCAGCTGTAGAACAAACAGACTGAAGAACTCGTTCATGCCTGTAATGATCAGGCTTCTCAATGAACAATGATGATGTCTCTGTTATTTTAATGTCTCAAATACGGATGTTTTGTGTACTGACTGTGTTCTTGAACTCTTTGTTCCGCGCTCTATGACTGAGGCTCATAAATTACTATACTTACTATCCTAATAACTATTTACCAGACTTCAAAAATCCCCAGACTATCCCTGTTGTAACCGCCACCGGTTGTTGCGCTTTATTTTGAAGGGCGGCTGACGCACATCCGGCGTCGCTCCGTGTAACTTGACGCTCCTCCCCTCGGCGCAGGCATTAACGTGAAGCCGCATTAGAGCCGTTTCCAAAATAAAGCGGGCGTGAGGCGCTCGGTGTAGTAAAACGGAGTAAACCCTGGAAGGCGGAGGAAGAGGAGCACAGAGGAGGCGTCACCGGGACGGGGGTGGGGGAGAACAGTCCCGAGCCTGTCCGTCTCTGTGTAGCAGGCACCGGGCCGGGATAAAATGTCGAACCGAAAGCACCGGGACAACCAGGAGATCTGCGCCCGCAAGGTCCGGGAGCTGGCCCAGTCCGGGGTCAACAAGCACTGCTTCGAGTGCAGCCAGCCCGGGGTGACGTACACGGACATCACGGTGGGCAGCTTCGTGTGCACGTCGTGCTCCGGAATGCTGTGAGTAAACAAACGGAGACAGACAGACGTGCACGCATAGGACAAACAGACGGAGGCCTGAGGCTGCAGCAGCATGCACTCAGAAATGTTCAGGTCCAGGAGCAGGGTGCTGCAGCCCGCCATGTGCGCGCACGTTAATTCACGCATCGTCTTCCTCTGTCTCTCCCCCCCCTCCCCCCAAAACAGCCTCATAAACGCCTCTGATTTATTTCATCATGATGCTGCAGGTTTGACACTCTTTTCTCCCTCCAGGGTCTGCTCCAGCTGTGTGCGCGTGCGTGTTGTCACAGTTTGTTGTGCATGTTCAGCCCCCAGCACTCCTCCTCAGGAACACGGGTTGTTGTTGTGACGTTGCTCAATCGTGCACAGCACTGTCCCACTTTTTGTCCACCCAGTATGGAGAAAATAGGAGGACACATGACCCCCCCCCCCCCCCCCCCCCACACCTCACCCCCACCTGTCCGGTCCCCCCCTCACCCCCCGGACCCCCCCCCCCTCCCCCCAGCAGGTGAATCCTCACTCTTTCACTGCTTATGTCTCTTGTGTCTCTGTGTCCCAGGAGAGGCCTCAACCCTCCCCACAGAGTCAAGTCCATCTCCATGACAACGTTCTCCCAACAGGAAGTGGAATTCCTCCAAAACCATGGCAACGAGGTGAGCTGACCAGATGCTGTCAAGCTGAGGTTGTTCGCCGCTGCGTCGTTTGGGTCCGACCTGGAGTTGAAATGGTTCTAATCTGGATTAGGAGACGTGCACATCAGATCAGAGGTTGAGTTTAGGAAGAACGCTCATGTTGCACAACGAAATACGGCGGGGGTGGGTCCACCGCTGGACGCCAACTTCTTTCTTTCTTTTTTTTAAGCCATTAGCTCCTTTTTTTTTTCTTTATAATCTGATTTGGCCCCCCAAAAAGTCAAACAAAAATTTGTCAGTCAATAACGCAGGTGTAGCAGCTTTGATCAGACCTACCACGCTACAGTAGTCCCTTGATTATCGCGGGGGTTACGTTCCAGACAACCCCCCACTATAGGTGAAAAACCGCGAAGTGGGAACGCCATATTTATTTTAGTATTTATATATATATATGAAGCCTTTATATATGCTTCCCACACTCTTGCAATGTTCTAAACTCTTAAACCTTTAACAACATATGTATATGTACTGTACAGTACTATTAACAGTTTATTCACCAGCTCTGCAGAACAGCAGCTCAGTTCTGGTTCTGCAGATCTACCCTGCAGCGATGAAGTCCACTGCCCCATCCAGGATGATGTGCATGTGGATAATTGAGCTTCAGGAAGCTTCAGGATTATTTGCAACTTTCCTGCCAGTTCTGTGAGCTTAATGGATAGCTTAGATTTGCGTTGCAAAACTTTCCCTCCATTTTGGCAGAAAGCAGCGGCCGAAAGCACTGTTGGCTTCTGGGTAGTGCAGTTCGTTTGACTGACAATACAGTGTAGGCTTATTGAAAGAAAACTACAAAAAGGCAATGACCGGAAGCACTGTTGGCTTCTGGGTAGTGTGGTTCTTTTGACTGACAATACAGTGTAGGCTTATGTAAAGAAAACTACAAAAAGGCAATGACCAGAAGCACTGTTGGCTTCTGGGTAGTGTTCTTTTGACTGGCGATACAGCATAGGCTTATGTAAAGAAAACTACAAAAAGGCAACGGCTGGAAGCACTATTGGCTTTTGGGTAGTACACTGTTGGCTTTTGGGTAGTGTAGTTCTTTTGACTGGCAATATAGGCTTATTGAAAGAAAACTAAAAAAAGGCAGTGGCTGGAAGCACTGTTGGCTTTTGGGTAGTACACTGTTGGCTTTTGGGTAGTGTAGTTCTTTTGACTGGCAATATAGGCTTATTGAAAGAAAACTAAAAAAAAGGCAGTGGCTGGAAGCACTGTTGGCTTCTGGGTAGTGTAGTTCTTTTCCACTTGACTTACAGTGTAGGCTTATCAAAAGAAAACTACAAAATGACGGCGCCTGTCCAAAGTATTTTTTCGTTAACTTTTCATCTCGTACCGTCTCAATTACGTGAGTAATAGTAAAGTTGACAATCATGTGTCCTGTACAATCTCTCAATGAAAAACCGCGAAACAGCGAGTTTGCGAAAGTCGAAACGCAAAGTTGCGAGGGACTATTGTATTGTGAAATGTTGCATGATCAGTTAGCTCTTCAAGTTTGTGTTGTGAATGACGTTCAGCTGACAGTAAAGATGAGCTCACCAGTGACCATAGTTTCTACTTAAGAATCCTTTCAAAATAAAAGCACTGTGAGTGGAAAATCACTGCTAGGTAACAACTTGGTGTTTCTTCAGTTGTAGATGTACATCTGCCCAGTGGTTCATATGATATTTTGCTAACAGACAGACATGAGGTGTGAGGAATGATTTTTGAATTTTCAAAGTCTAATCAAAAGGGGAGAGGGTGGGTCCCAGAAACCATCTTATCACCAGCAAACTGGTTGGTCCACTGTGTGGGTGTGCTGCTTGTGGGACAGTTTGTTGTAGCTCCTTGGATTGAATCGTCCTTTGGATGAAGGATGAAACATCTCAACAAAAAAAGAAACCGTCCAGAGGATCTGACTGAACTTTGTTGGATTTTCTACCTGGATTATTGAGCATGAACTTTTATATCTACGAATCAAAAGACACATTTTAAGAAAAAAATAGGACTGTTATGACGAGTATTTTATTTTTTAATCAGCTCCTATTAGTGACACTATTGTTACAGGGCAGTGATTTTCCAATCCTTGCTTTTATTTTGAAAGGATTATTAAGTAGAAACTACAGTCATAGGTGAGCTCATCTTCACTATCAGGATATGTGCACTCCTCTTAATGTCGATCCAGTGTTGTTGTGCCAACCTATAAAGATGGTAGCATGCTTTCTTCTTTAGAGGTTGCCGCAGCGTTGTTGTTTTTATTTCGGCTGCTCTCTTCTTCACCGGTGGCCACAGCGAGCAAACTCGCATGAAAGAGTTGGCCAGATGCCCTTCCTTACGCAACCTGGGCTCGAACCTGTAGCCTCAGGATTATGAGACCGTGGCACTGACTACCGATCTACTGCACCACAGTCTATGTTGATCCAACGGACCGGTGAAATTGAAGGAATCTAAACGTCCCTGGCTAGCAGAATTAGCAGCAGCTAATGCACCAACACTTGGAGGCTAATGGTACCGTATTTTCCACCGTACACATTGCACCGCCCTATAAGTCGCATCAGTCCAAATAGTCTAATAAAGTGGAAAAATTCATAAATATGTTGCTTCGTCATATACGTCACATATATTATGCGTCATCGCTGATGTGTCGCGTTTGTTACGCGTCACCGCAGACAACCCGGAAATGTGGGCTGGTGTGCCAAAAGTTGATGGGCTGCCAAATGGCGGCCGCAGGAGCGTGCATGGGAGGACTTTAATAAGAATTAAACAAGGTCAGCTTTAAAAAAAAAAACAATTATTTGTTTGCTCGAAATTATAGCAAAGGTGTGTCTCAGTTTGCCTTACTACTTGAATGCCATCTAGTGGCTGAAAATGGTAGTGTTCAATATTTTCAGTCAGAATGAATGAAAACGGTCATAACTCAGCCAAGAATTGGTTTATAAATATGGAAAAAAAAATCCATAAATACATCGCTTCGGAATATAAGTCGCAGGGCATGCAAATTATGCACAAAAACGTGACTTATAGGGCGAAAAATACGGTAGCTCTTGTAGTGTTACATCTTTAGTGTGGAGGTGTTCACTGAGTGAAAAAGACCCAGTATAATCTGTAATATCTGTAACTTGTTTAAAAATAAACCAAGAGGAAGCTCAGGAGGTATTGGAGGCTCACTAACACAGGAAACTTAAAAAATATATATATTTTTTTATCGCCCTCAAAATCCATTCTGTTGAGCAACATTTAGGTTGCTATAACAACCGAAAACCTTCAGATCTCATGTCCTAAATCTTGTGTGCAGCTTGTTTAAACATGCTAGTTTTAATAAATGCTTTTAATTCTACACGTTCATAGCCTCTTTCATGCCAAACATCGTGGAATGTGATGAAGCGGTTCCATAGGACCAGCTGAGGGATAAACAGGCGTAGGCTGCTCAGAGCTTCCATCGCAGATATTCACTTTAAAGTGTCTGAGTCCATCAGTGGGAGCTCTTACTGTTTATATTAGCCTGGTGGAGATCCAGTTGTGTTTGTGTTCGGTGGAGCAGCGGTGTGTAACGTCGAGTTTCTCCTCTCGGGATTGATCCAGCCCGTTATGACTCACAGTCAGTAATATTTGCAGCGCTCTGACTCTTTTACTGGATGATTCACCGATGAGAAATCGTCTTTGTGTTTTTCGTAAGCAATTCTCTGGCACCAGGTATGAAACGGTCGGAGGGATTATCGTCTCGTTTGAGGCCAACCCTTCGCTGTGTGTTTACCTGGAAAATGTGTGTGTGTTCAGGTCGGGAGAAGAACCTGGCTGTGTGTGTTTGACCCGAAGGCCGACGGCTGCCCCGACTTGAAGGACTCGCAGAAGTTCAAAGAGTTCCTTCAGGATAAATATGAGAAGAAAAAATGGTGAGAAATTTGCCGCACTTTAACCGCGACGATACGAGGCTAAGTCTGGAGCTCGGGGATTAACGAAGCTGCTGCCAATGTAGATATTTTACTGATTCTTCTGGTAATTCTGCCAAGAAATAAAAAATAAAATAAATGGAGGAAAAATGTTACTGATTAGGCACTTTGCAGTCGCTCATTTGATCTAAAATGCACCAAAAAAAAAAAAAAAAGCATAAAGCAGATCCTGCTTCTGGAGCAGGAAACTGCTCTTAAAAGTAATAAAAATATATATTTGTTGTGTGAATGTTTATTTATGAAGCATTCACTCTACTGCGATCCATTTTTCTTCTGTACATTTTTCATCATCTTTCTTGTTCCACAGCGTTTGTGCTATTTCAACAAATCATAAATCAAAATGTTCAGCTCTTTCAGAAAAATCCTGCTATGACGTTTGGTATTAGTGCAACTTTAGCTTTTTGAAATATTTAGCCTTTTCTCTCACCTTTTTCCCCATTTTAAATGAATTGAGCTCATTTTACATCCTTCATATCTTTAGATGTGTTTACAACCTTTTACTGCTCCTTTCACACTTTGTTCTGCTTCTTTCAGCTTCTTTGTGCAAATTTAAACTTTTTTCAGCTTTCAGCTGTTTTTTCAGCTGTTTTGTGCTCCTTTTAGATTCTTTCTGCTAAGTACCGTACATTTTTGTACTTCTTCTAACTTCTTTCTGCTAATTTCAGCGTATGCGCCTTTCAGCTTATTTATGCAAGTTTCAGCTTTTTCTGCTATTTCAGCTACTATTTAGCTGTTTTTTTTGTTGCTAATTTTTGGCTAATTCCACATTTTTTGCACTCATTTAAACTTTTTTCAGCCTAATTCAGCAAAACTGTGCTCTCTGCACTTCCTTCTGGTAATTTAAGCTTCTTTTTGCTTTTTAGCTACTATTCAGCTGGGTTTCTTTTTGTGTGCGCAAATTTCTGCTTTTTTCAGATCATTTCAACTTTTTTGTGCTAATTTCTGCTTCTTTCAGCCTAATTGGGCACAAGTGTGCTCTCTCCTTCCTTCTGGTAATTTGGGCTTATTTCTGCTTCTTTAGCTACTATTCAGCTGTTTTTTGCTCTTTTTTTTTAAGATATCGTCCACTTTTTTGAGCTTGTTTCTAATAATTTCTGCTGAATTGGGCATAAATATGCTTTCTCCACTTCCTTTTGGTAATTTCAGCTTCTTTCTGCTTTTTTTAGCTACCTTGTCTTGCTACTTTTACCTTTTTTCAGATTCAACTTTTTTGTGCTAACTTTTGCTTCTTTCAGCCTAATTGGACAAACACGTGTTCTTTCTGCTTTCTTCTGCTAGTTTAAGCTTTTTCAAACTTTTCATCTATCTTTTTGGCATTTTTTAATATAATTTCAGCTGTTTTTCAGATAAATTTTAAAAAAGTGTGATAATTTCTGTTACTTTCAGCCTATCTATCTTCTTTCTGCTCCTTTCAGCTTTTTTCTGCTATTTTAAACTTATTTCTGACTTTTCAGCTACTAGTTTGCTAATTTCAGCTGTTTAAAAAAAAAAATATTTTAGCAAGATCTTTATTTTTTTAAACTTCGTTTCATTACGAGACATAAGCATCACTTTATCTAAAAGTTTAGACAAAGTGTCTTCACATTTCGACTGGAGCTCAGTCTTTGTGAGCCCTTTCAGATTTGTTTTAATTTGCTATGAAAATGACCTATTTTAAGCGATTTTCCAAAATCTTAACTAAAACAGATTAAGCAAATATCAAATTAAAATGTATCTGTAATACGTTGAAGCGCATGCATAAATGGATCAAACGTTACCGAGTGAAATGAATGAGACAAACTTACGAGACTCGTTTATTATAATTTCTTAAAGATTACAGTTCTGCTCTGTTTAATCCACTTGTTACTGACAATTAACATTTTCCTGGTGCAGTCTAGATTTTATTGTTTCATCAGTGATGATGAGTTAAGCTGGCTCTCTGTAGCGACACAACCTCCAACCATGATGCTATCACTACCGTGGTGAATTGATTGGATCAGGTTTTTCCACTGAAATCTTATTTTATCTAGACATTTCTCATTCAAACCAAAGACGTTCAGTTTTGTATCATCTGGCTTGTCCACGAGGTCTGCACCAATAATCATTTAGGAGATCTTTCTGATCTCACACCAATGTTTGGTTTTCTTCTTGTGTTTCTGATGTTAAATGACTCAATGTGAAAAGTGTTTTTAGTAGCGGTCGAGTCTCTCTGGGTCTCGTTGTGTTTTTGTGGACAGTATACCTCATGTTCTTTGAAGTAATCGTTGATCAGCTACTCCAGGAAGAAGAAACAATGGATGTGAATTTCCTCTGTTTCCACACACCTTTTGTAGTTTGTGGACTGATCAGTAGGCTGATTTTAGAAACAAGTTTCAAAGCTTTTACATGTTTCACTGTAGGTTCTCTTTATTAGAAGAGATAAATAAATTAAGACATTTGGATATTTTGGTTGGAGTCAAAGTAAAAATAAAACTGAATGCTTCACCCATGAGATTTCCACATTTCAGTTCTTTTTTCTATAAGATCAAGAAGTATTTCCCACCTAAATCACAAAAGCGCTTGCTTCGCAGTCGATCTTCAGAATCTGCTCAGCGTTTTCTCACGTGAACAGTTGGATTTGCGACTGAGTTGTCATCGCTGTCCGGTTGGTTTGAGGTGTAAAGATGGCGTCAGAATTGTTCCTCAAAATCAGAATCACACACAGCGAGAGTGTCGTTGGCGCTGGCTGAGATTCACACGGTTTTCTGCTTGGGATTAACTCTAATGGCTGCTTTTCTGCTGAAATTGGAGTTCTTTGGAAAGGTTAGGAACAGTTGACATCTTCCTTGCTTTTGAACAGTGTCAGTTTGGAGAAATTATTTATGACCTGACTAATAAACTAATGGCTAGTTTGTGCTGGACCAAGACCAAAGTGATTTTCTACAGTCCTAAAACAATGGCAGTTTAAAAATATAATTATTTTCATGCAAATATTGCTTTTTAAGCTTTTGCACTGCTTATAATTTCATACTTTGCTGTTATTCTTGCAATAAATATGATACTCCTTCTGGAATTGCTACAGCTAGCTGCTGCTGTTATTATTTGCTCTTGCAAATGGCCATGAAATACCCTGTAAGACACCATGTAAGATGAAATTGTGTCCCATCCAGTCCACTTTGGTCTTGTCCCTGCTCGAGCTATCCATTAGTTCATCAATCAACCGTTCCTCCAACAGGTAATATACTAATTGTCCATAAGGTTTCTTCTGAACCATCAAAAATGAAGATTAAATTGTATTTTTTAGAACCAGTAAGTGACTGACTCATTTATGCAATTTTTTTTGGTTTGGTTTTGCAGGCATTTTTCCAAAAGTAAAAACCGGAGGGATGTGGAGGGTCCCTGGAGTCCAGGAGTCCAGGCCATGCCGTCTTCTCATGGCCCTCTGACAAGCCAAGGCCCGACCCATAATTTACCCCCTAATGCCAGATCGGCACGACCACTGGTGAGGGTTACATGAAGTTGATGGCGGAGGTATTTATGGAGGTTTAAATTAAGGTAGAGAGGGGAAAATGCTAAGAGCAGAAGTGAAACAAAGTTATGAACAAAAAGGGGAAATGAAAGGAGATATGTTTCTCAGAGGGCCAAATTGAAAAAGAGGAAATTAGGTAAGAGACTTTAAAGTTGTGGCACAGAGGACCTCAGCATCAAAGCCTTAGTTCTGAATCAATGAAAGTCTCACCTCGCCTCTCTTTGACGCTTTCCACCTCCCGTGTGTGTCTCCGGCTCCAGTCTCAGGCCCAGCTGCCATCATGGGATCGAGCCCCCGCCGTGTCACCTGCCGATATGAGAATGGACGCGTTCACGGCTCGACCGTCACGCTCCCAAAGCTTCAGAGACCCCTCTTTGAAAGGTCAGCAGTTGATCTTGGCAGGAGGGTTTGGCCTCTGCGGGCACAACTTTAATCACATATTTATGTTTTTATTTCTCTGTGATACAGATTCAACGCTGTGTGGTATAGAGAGGCAGAGACCAGGCTCTTTGTCTCTGGGGGGTCAGAGCCACACTCCCTCTTTCCCTGCCCTTCCACGGCCTTCAGGTCAGTTTTGTTCTCCCTTGTCTTAACTCCGCCCCCTGCCACCCCCACCAAAAAAACAAACAAACAAAAAAATATAACAATAAATGTGTAAATTGTAAAGTATTGATTTTTTTTTCCAACAACCTAGGTTCCTGCAAATTTCGCACCAGGGGGATTTTGTAATTTGTTCTGCAAGTAAAGGAATAGGCCACTTCATTTGGCCCCACATTGGGTGCCAAATGTAGTGGCCTATTCCTTCATTCAACAAGTAATTATAAAGCAATAAAATAAATAGAAGACTCTGATTCTGATGTGACCACAAATTGGGGCTTTATTGAAGTAAAAGGTACCAACCTGAAAAAGCTTGTAGCTTTTCAAATAAACCAAACCTAGTAATTGTTACTTTTTTCCGTCCTTCGTGCATCATAAAACCATTGTTTTCTGTTCTTCCAACTCATTACACACCCGTACAAGGAATGTTCTGGGGCAGGCTGACTCTGATGATGCTCCTGTTCAGAACCTTGGCTCAGACATGCACATTGCCCTTCAACAACAGCCAAGTGACTGACAAATTCACTGACATTCAAGTCCTTCCAAAAGACTCCCTTCACACATACTGAGCAGTTCTGCATGCCAACTTTTCCCTTGATCTTCCACCTCGGCCTCACATGCTCATTTCTTCACTACGTAGTTGTTTTCAGCATAATACCCGATATTTAGGCCTAAAAAGGTTTACGGAAGTATTTTTAATTATGTATTTAATCCTATAAGTCTTTTTTTGCTTCTTATTTCAGGAGCTTTCTTGTTTCAGACAAAGGGACTGTCCACATAGGAATGTTTTTTGGTAAACAGTTAAATGTATTTTTTATTTTAATATGAGTGTATCTGCTAACAAAGACACCAAATCTCCCCAACTTTGATCAGAAAATGAGGTTGGGCAACTAATAATGCCTATGTACTTTAGTTCAAGTGTCTGTTAGCAAAATATCTCATGAACATTAAGATGGATTTTAATGAGACTCTCCGAAAGTATGTATTGACGTACATCTACAACTGAGTCAGTGCTACTCAAGATGGCCGCCATAACTAATTGAACATGGCAAGCACTAAAACAGTTACAACTTTGTCATTTTTACAGGTCTTGACCTAAGTTTTGCTGTGGTAGTGTCTGAGGGTCATCCCCAACATGTACTCTGAGAACTAACAGACATCACAAGAACAAACGCATTGGGATGCAAGATGGTGCTAGATTTGTTTTCCTGCAGGGAATTCTTGTTTTGTTTAAACTCAAATGTTTAAATATAGCAGGGATTTTGTCTTAGCTGAAATAGTTAAATTCATTAAATCATTTTAATCAAGTGACTTATTTTTAATTTGTGACCTGTGCTGGCAAAATGAGTCCCAATGAGGGCATTTTCATTTCAGAGTTATTCATTTCAAATTCTTCATCCCCAAAGCTTCAAATTGATCCGTAGTTTGTTGTAATCTGGTGATTCATCACTTCTTAGTAATGAGCTAGTTTTGTTTACAAGAGTGTCTGTTTGCACATTCCAGTTGTATATTTAAAAAAGGGAATCCCCAAGCTTCACAATGCAAACATTATATGAAGGGATTTCCCAGCACTACTGCAGCCAGCAGAGAAAAATGGTCAATTTAAAAGAAAATAAAAGTATTTCTGAAGATAAACCTATGAGAATTCAATTTAAAGGTAAATTAAGAAGATTTTGTTGCTATTTTCGTTACCAGGAATTCTAGATTGTGTTTTCATGGACTAATTTTTACCCAAAACTCAATTCTGGTAAAACTATGTTCATGTTTTTTTGCTCATTGCCACTCATTCTGCCAGCTCGGGTCACATTTTGGTGTTATTATCATTTAAAACTTGGATGTTTATGCTGCTAGCGTCAGAGCCAGCCACCACCTTAGGGTAAAAGTCAAGAACCCACTTCCCTGTCATCGTGTCGCCCCACTGGTTTGCTGTTATAAACCAGAAAACAACTGGCTGCAGGGAGGATGGTTTGATATGCCTTTAGTGACTCTGTCCTTTTGTCTTTTCTCTTTCTGTCCATCTCCGGTCCTGCAACCTCGTAGCCAGCAGCTCGTTCAAAAACCACTTCACTTTAGGTAAGAGCCGATTCCTTTGAGCGTGTGTTGAGTGAATTGATGAGCTCCTCCTGGCTGTGCCATTTCTAACAGACGGCGTGGTCTGCGGGTTGTGTACCCTGTGACTCACATGCTTGTGAATTTAATTTGAGGAACGCTGCAGCTCTCCACACTCCTTCAGCCAACCAATTTATGGCGGACATTGGAGCTGAAATTAGGGTTGGGACTTTTCAATTTGTCCCCCATCGCAGAGCGATACACCCTCCACCCGTCTGTTTGATTCAACTCGTGAGCTGGATAACTTGTAAAAAATAAGTGAGGTATCGACTTCCACATTGCCGTGCGACTGCATCTAGGTGTAAGAAAAGTCAATATTGAAAATTGGGTTGCCACGTCAAAATCCAAAATGGCTACCGCCGTAGTATTTATTCATGTAAACCAGCCATACTTCTCATTTTTTAGGAAACTGCTTTCTAGTTTTTATATTGCTTAAAATTACGGTTTCCTCAAATGACTGGGGTGGGCAAAGACTAATCTATGGTGGCCAAGGCCACCAGTGGCCACCCCCTGGTTCCGCCGTTGCACTTGGCGGTGGATAAAATGATCCGTCACTCTGCGCTGTTTCGGATAAAGCAACAAAACTCACCTCTCTTCTTCTACACAGTGGAAGTCTTACTTAATTGAACCAAAAACACCAAAAACATTAAGGTTTTCTTGCATTCCCTGTTCAGTTTTAGTCCAGAAAAACACTCATTTCAAAAACTACAAACATTCACTATTCAAATCCCTCAGCGACGGGGGACGTGGCGTACCGCTTGTTCCAAAGGTGTTGGATCTGAACGCTGGACGGGTCGAGGAGAGCGCTCCCTGAGAGGGGAAAGAACGAGTTTGAAGCTATTTTTAGGCTCCGTCAGCGGAGGGCCGCTGATATTTCTCACCACTTCGGTGTTGGAGCACTTTAAAAAAAACTATGTAGGCCACAGCTGTAATCTCATTCCAAACAAGTGCTCTGAGAAGTTCAGGTATGCTCTCAGAGACGGCTTCTCAGGCGTCCAGCAGATCAAAGCCCAGAACTACGCTGGCAGCCCGACTTCTTCACGCCTTGTGTCAGGAGTTTATCTGAAGCAGAACAAGTCTGCTCTCCATCTCTGGCTCCTCTGGGAAAAGAACAGACTTTCATTTCCGTCTTCGTGCTAACAGCTGATAGCAGCACGCCTTGCGGCCGATCTGTTTGCTCTGTGTGCAGCGATGTTGATTTCCTGCTTTTGTTAGAATCTGTTGTTTTTATCATCGTTTGGGCTTTCCGTTGCACTTTTTTTTTGTCCTTTCATGCCTAAAAATGAACATTACGGGCTGTTTTTAGTGCACACCCTGCTTGTCCTGCTTCTGCTGCAGCGTGAAAATGTGCAATTAGGATCATTCACATGCGTCTGAAGTTTCCCATCTGATGGACCAAACGCATTGAATTTCACTCGATGTGATGCTTTGATGCTGAAAACAGCATGTGCATCATTTCTGACTAAAAGTGCTTTATTTATTTAAAAAAACGTAAATCAATAAATATGCTTTAAATCAGCTGCAGCTAATATCAGTGGTTTTAAAAGTAAATTAGAGAAGCTGCTTTTTTTGTGAAAATGCGTGTGGATGCTTGTTGCTGAATGATTTAGCTGAAAGCAGCTAAACAAGCTAAAACATAGACCAATAGTTGAAAAGTAGAATGAAAGGGCTGAAAGGAGTGCAACCCCCCTCTGAAATGATCAAAAAAGTTGCTGAAAATAGACGAAAAAAGCTGAAATTAGCAGAAAGAAGCTAAAAAGTATCAGAAACATGCTGAAATTAACCCCAAAAAAGATACAAGAAGTGTAAGCCTCACTTAGTAAAAAAAAAAAGCCAAAGAAAACTCAAACAAGCTTTTATTAGAGGGATGAAGCGTATCAGAGCACAACACAGCTAAAGTTAGAAAATCAACTGAACAAAAACCTGAAAATTTCACGTCTGAAAAAGCAAAAAAAAAAAAAAAAAGGGCAGAAAGAAGCTTAAAAGAGCGCATGAAAGCTGAAATTAGCTGAAAAGTAGCTAAAAATATGTAATATGTAATTAGTAGAAAATCAGCTGATATGTAACTAACAAGTTAAAATAAATTAGTTAAATGAAGCTGAAATGAGCAGAATTTAATAAAAGGCGCAAAAAAGATGAAAGAAGCACGCAAAAGCAGAAATGAGAAGAAAGAAATAGGAAACAAAAAGCTAAAAATATCAATTGATAAACTTAAATGAGCAGAAAGAAGCAAAAAAGAGCTGAAAAAAACTGAAACTAGCAACTACAAAAAAGCTAAAAGGAGTCTAAAAAGCTTCAGTTAGTATAAAAGCCAAACAAAAACAAAAAAGCTAAAATTAGAAAAAAGAAGCTTAATAGAGAACAAAAAAGCTAAAATTAATTTTAAAAAAATCAGCTGAAAGTAGCTGAAAAAGCACAAAATGCTGAAAATATCATAAAAATGCTGAAAGAGCAAAAAAAAAACAACAACAACCTGTAATAAGCAGAAAGAAGCTTAAAAGAGCGCATAAAAGCTGAAATTAGCTTAAAAATAGCCAAAAAGATGTAATTACCGTATTTTTCGCCATAAACGTCGCTCCACCCTATAAGTCACATCAGTCCATATTTGTCTAATAAAGTGGAAAAATACATAAATATGTCGCTTCGCCGTATACGTCGCATCTATTGTGCGTCACTGCTGACGCGTCTCGTTTGTTACGCGTCACCGCTGACAACCCGGAAATGTGGGCCGGTGTTGTGCCAAAAATGGATGGGCTGCCGAATGGCGGCCGCAGGAGCGTGCACGGGAGGACTTTAACAAGAATTTAACAAGTTTAACACTTAAAAACAATTATTTGTTTGCTCAAAATTATATTAATTGTGTGTATCAATCTAACGCTTGCTTAATAAATGCACTTTGATGGTCAAATCAGCTGCATTTCAAAAAATAGTTTAGCTGCTGAGGTGCTCCCGGGAGCGCGCAGACGGGGAGGAAAAAAGGAGGAACGCGGCTCGTTTCTCCGAAAATTAACAAAAAATGCACTTCAGCAATTATTTGTTGCTCGAAATTATAGCAAAGGTGTGTCTCAGTCTAACATTTGCTTAATAAATGCACTTTAATGGTCAAATTAGCTGCATTTTGCTGGGGCGGTGTAGCTGGATTGTCGGTCGGTCCATGCAGTGAGCAGAACCAAAGTGGGGAGTCTATGGCAGGCCGATTGAGTCATTAAAAACTGGTGAAGATTCTCAGTCATCCAGGACATGGTAAATTCAAAAAAGTTCAAGAAAAAAAAAACTAAGTATAGTATAGATTTTATTGAGCATGCATCAGGATAAGTATAGTATAATAAATAAAATCCATTTGTTTTTGTATTCAATTTTTTTGAATTTGACATTTTACCAACATGTCATTTTAGCCATGTTTACCTATTAAATGATACAACAGCCAACAGCATGCCATACACTTTTACTGCTCTGCTGCCATCAAGTGGATGAAAGTGGTACTGCTTAAAAAAATTTCAGTCTGAATGAATGGTAACGATCATATCTCTGGTAAAAATGGTTTATAAACATAGGCGTCGCAACCATTATATGTGAAGGGGACAAGTCTCCCCCACATTACAAAAAGGTTAATTTGGACACCCCCACACACACACACACACTCTCACTCTCACACACACTTTTATTATGAAACATTAATTCAGGCGGCGCAGTTTCTTTCTTCGTGAACAAATCCATTCCACTTAATTAATAGGAGAATACTCAAACCACTAAAACTCCACTCCAGGTTTTCCTGGTTACCTCCAACTCTAAACACAGCAGCCTGTTGCCACGGTCACAATATACGGTGGTCACAGAATATGGTGCAACACCTGCAGCGTTTCTGTGCGTCTCCTCCTGCTTTGGCAGAAAACGCGCACAGGTGGAGGAGACATTTCTGTGTTACTCGCTCGCCAGTTCAGCAGCTTTGTGCGGGCAGTTGTTGACCGGGGGGTTGATCATCATAAACGTATATACATGTTAGGAGGAGAGAAGTGGAGCGCTACGTCTGTAGCATCTTAACAGTAACTGTGACGCTGTAAGACGCTGCAGGTGTAAGAGACTCTGTGTGTTCAGGTGCATTAAAGTTGAAATGTCTTTAAAACCCCCACACCTTATTGTCCTCAATCTTCATGAGAAACATCATTTAGAAGAGCAGTGTTGAACACAAGTAAAAAAAGTCCAGTGGTAATGATTTTAATTTCTCTATAAACACAATTAGTGCCGACCAGATGCTCTGTATTAAAATGGATTAAAGTTAAAATGTCTTTAAAACCCACAGATGAATTTACACAAACTTGGTGAGAAACATGTTTTAAATGTGTGGAATTAAAAGAAATCTAGGTGAAATGCTGCTTTTAGTACACTAGTGAACACCTTTTTTTTAAATGCGTGCGCACACACACACACACACCTACGCACATCATTGTGTCCCCCACATTACGGATGCTTCTGACGCCCTTGTTTATAAATATGGGGAAAAAAGCCATAAATTTGTCGCTTCACAGAAAAAAAAACAGTAGCTAAAAAAAGCTGAAATTAGCAGAAAGAGGCTGAAAGAAGCTGAACCAGAAGAAAAGCTGAAATGAGCAGTAAAAAGTTTTAAACATTTAAAGGAGGTGGAGTGAGCTCCATTCATTTTTTTTTTTAGCTAAATAAACTAAATATTTTAACAGGTAAGAATTGCGTGAACACCAAACGTCACAGCAGGAATGGCCTGAATGAGCCGAACATTTTGATACAGGAATTGTTGAAATAGCAGAAATGTTGCGTAACGAGTTAGATGCTGGAAAATGTACCGGAGGGGAACAAAAAAAAAAAAAAAGAATTGTGTGAACGCTTTAGAAGGTTTCACACACTTTTTTAAAAAATACACACAGGTTTAGCATTTATCACCAAATAAAGAATACAGATGTTTAGGATAAATTATCAAACATTATTTTTGACATTTGCTTTGTTCTGTATTCTGATTTATTTATTTGTTTTAATTATTTACATTTTATTTGTCAGGGGCACTGTATTTGTTTTAAGCTGTCCCTTCTCTTCTGTGTAAATGAACTCAGAGCTGAATTCAACGAGAATAATCCCCTTTTTTAATTAGTTTTACTCGGTAAAACTTTTTAGTTTTCTGTGTTTAAATGAAACCGTTTCATCTGGAGGCTTGTGTCATTTTTTATTTTTTGGTGGTTTTCTCTCTTATCTGTTCATAAATTTACTATGAAGACCTAATAATGTCCTCATTTCCTGAACACTTACGGACTTCCTGTTTACTTTCAAACCGAGATGATGGAGGATGATGTGTCTAAAGTGATGCCTCATTTACACGACTCCGGATATTTTTTAAACAGATTTGTTTTTCTCTTTGTGCTTGTAAAAACTTCCAAATGATTTTTACAGAAATGCTGAAATACCTAATTGTAGGTCGACGTCCACATCGATGACAAATTAAAATGCAGAGAAAGAAAAGGTTTAGCTTGACTAAACCTGGACCCAAAACTTGGAGAGAAAAAAATTACCGTAACTTTTTATTATTTTTTTTCCCGTTATTTCTCTTTTCAGTATTAAAGTTTTACGGTGACAGGATCACAAATACAAACAGAGAAAGAAAAGGTTTAGCTTGACTAAACCTGAACCCAACACTTTAAAAAAAAATTTACCGTAATCCCCCCTCCAGTTATTTCGCATTTCAGAATTTACTATAAAAGTTTTACGTTGACGGAATCACGAATGCAAACACAGAAAAGAAAAAAGTAAATTTAGAAATCACTATAACTAAGTTAGCTTATAATAACATATTTTAATCTTCTGAGGTAATCCTTTAAATTAAAAAAAGATGGTGACTTTTTTATTTTTTATTTATTTTTATTTATTTTTTTTTGCTCTTCTGACTGCCATAAAGTCAGGAAATCCCTTTGCATAATGTTTGGTGTTTCAAACTTTGACCAAAACGAACAAATCACTGCTAGTTTTAACAGTTTCATGTCATTTCTTTTGCAAATTTGTGAATACTAGTACTAATACAAGGAATTAAACTTACTCACTTTAACTTTATGTTTTATTTCTTTAAAGTAGGATACTTATTTGTCCACAATAAAAAAAGTCACTAGACCTGCATACTTCAATACTTTTAAAAAAATTGGTAAAAACTACCATATTTTTTGTACTATAAGGCGCACTTAAAATCCTTTTAATTTTCTCAAAAATTGACAGAGTCTTATAATCCAGTGCACCTTGTGTATTTTAATTCTGGTTGTGCTTACTGACCTCAAACTGATTTCATGTGGTACACAGCGTTCAAAAATCTGTCAAAATGAACATATTTCACTGAAGTTTATTATCCGGTGCGCCGTTTGAAAACAGGCCCATTCATTGATTTTGCGCCTTATAATCCGGTGTGCTTTATAATCCGAAAAATATGGTATTAAAAAAAAATCCTTCTTTACAATAATCAGGTCTTTTATTTTGTCTTTAAATGTAAAAATATCAATAAGTGTTAAAAATTGAATAGTTATTATGTCACTCCTACCGGCCTGAAAAGTCTCCTCCTACGAACTTAAAGTGGCCCATGAGCCACCAGTTGATAATCACAATTGGAGCAGGTTCTGTGGCTCCGGACATTTTAATTTATTGAACCAAGCGGCAGAAATAGCTCTTTGGATCGCCAAGGTCGTAGACCGTTGGTGTAGTCTGTCTGTCTGTAGGTTCGTAAACTTTTTCTTGTCCAGACTAAAATTAAAGATAATTTATTGAAGTTTCATGCACATGCATCGTCGCAGGACAGCGTGAGGTCCTTAACGTCTGATCCACTCATAATTTAACAAAACTTCTTACGAATTTACACGGCGTGTCGCATAATCTTGTCATCACCCCAGTTTCAAGGTCAAAAATTAAGGTCAAATGCTATACAAGGTGTTTGCTTCTCCCGGCCTTTGCTATAGGTAACTGTATTGCTGTATAATAGTTTAACTCTGTCCTGTTGTTAAATATAGGGCAGAATGTCCCGATGATGTAACTTCAGACGAATAAAATTCATTTTGAAGTATTTTAGGTGACGAATATGAAAAATTATAATAATTAAAATTTCGTAAACCTCCTTGTTGTGACTCATTTCGCCAGCACGGGTCACATATTTGTAAAAATGAAAATCAAATCCACTTAAAGCATGTATTAAGCCCCCTCACCAAAACTGTTTCTGTGTGGACGAAAGTTGCGAAAGCAGCACAAATCTCTGTTTTTGAAAATATCCAGAGTAGTGTGGATGGTGCTTGAATGATGGAGTGGGAAAAACAAACTGAAATCTTGCTCCAACTTTTTAATCCCGTGCGTATTTTAATTCAAAATTAAACGAAGAGCTCAAAGACTGGCACCTGCTAATTTTGGCTTTTTTCAGATAATTTCCACTTTTTTTGTGCTCATTTCTGCTTTTTTAGCCTAATTTAGCAAACATGTTTTTTCTGCTTTATTGAGCAAATTTAAGCTTGTTCTACCATTTCAACTACATTTCAGATGTTTTCAGATAAATTCAAGTTTTTTGTAGTAATTTCTGCTACGTTCAGTCTAATTAACTTCTTTTTGTTAATTTCGGCTTGTCATTGTCCTTTCAGCTTTTTTCTGCACTTCAGCTTTTTCTCCTATTTCAACTATCGTTTAGCTGTTTTTGTGCTATTATTAACTTTTTCAGCTAATTCCACATTTTTTAGCTCATTTCATCTCTTCCCTCTTCCACTTAGTTTAAGCTTCTTTCTGCCTTTTCAGCTATTTTTCAGCCTTTTTTGTTGTTGCTAATTGCAGCTGTTTTTTCTCATTTACTAATTTTTGCACCCATTTCTGCTTATTTAAACCCAATTCAGCAAATGTGTTATTTCTGTTTTCTTCTGCTAATTTAGTTAGGTTCTTCCATTTCAGCTACCTTTCAGCATGTTTTTAGCTAATTTCAGCTGTTTTTCAGCAAGTTCGTCAGCAATAAGCATTCACACTGCATTTTCTCAGGAAATGCAAGTTCTCTGATTTTCTTCATTATTTCTACGATAAACAGACACAAGTCTGCACACCTGAGCTCTGCTCCAGCGTTTACACCTCTTCATCTTTACTCTTCGCCTGTCTCCTCTCTCAGGTCGTACGGTGTCGGTCTCAGGGACCACGGGGCCCTTCAGAGCCTTTCCAAAGTCCCTCAGCGTGGACTTTGGAGGTCTGAGCCACCCTCCGACGCAGCCCCTGCCTCAGTCTCGGTCCCAGCCTCAGCAGCAGGCCGCCGCCGTCAGCCGGACGACGCCACAGGTCAGCAGCTCCAACAGTCAGGACCGCTACGCCGCCGTGTCCCAGCTGGACAGCGTCTTCTCTGAAACGTCCTCCACTGCAGGTATCCAATGATCGACGCTTTCTGAAATAAGTTTAAACGTCACAAAACACTTGACTCTTGCACCTTTTAGACATTTGATGTGTTTTGCAAATCTTAACGTTGAGTCAGTGTTTACTCATTTTGGTGACTTTTGGACCTTTACGTGCAAACAAATCTTTGAAACGGCATTGATTTCCTCTTTATTCCCGTTTGAGTAGAGTGAGCTAAGGGTTGGCCTCGGCAAGCGCTCATTTAAGCTTTGTTTTTATCCAGTCTGGCTGTCAGTATCTTACCTGCGGCAGAACAATCTCAGTTTGGAGAATCTGAGAGAAATTCCCATCTTCTAAAACAACTCAAACCTCAGTTTTTTTTCTGTCTTATTAAATTAACACGGCTGGAGTAACAATCATAAAACAACATATAAAAATTGAATGAGTTTTGTTCTGCAATATGTTTCACACAAAACATGGATTTATTAAAAGACGTTTGTTTTATGATCTCTTTGGAGGTTTGAGATGTTTTCTCTTGATTCTCCAAACTGAGATCATTCACATGCTGCGGGTAAGATGCTGACAGCTCATAACAAACCCCACTACAAAAATCTGAACTGCCTCTTCAAACCAGAATGCATTTTAGACGTAACTCACTTTTTTTTGTCTTCAATGAATCTGATTTTTAAAGCACCTTTCGTATAAAGTGAAGTATGGAAATTTAATGACATGTTTTTGATATTTATGATTTACTAAAGAACCTTAGAAGTTTTTGAGGAAAAAAAACCAACAACTTTATATAGAGTTTTGGAAATAATTCTACTGAGAGATATTTGTATCTTTTAATAAAATTAACATAAAAACTGCTTCTGCTTAATTAGATCAGGAAATATTACCGTAATTTCCAGACTATTGAGCGCACCCGAATATAAGCCACGCCCACTAAATTTAAGAAATAATTATTATTTGTACATGTGTTTATAAGTTGCGGGTGTCCACGTTGTAACATGAGATATTTACACAGAAAGATTTTTTAAAACTTTTAATTGAATACCGTATTTTCCACTGTACACGTCGCTCCGCCCTATAATTCGCATCAGTCCATATTTGTCTAATAAAATGGAAAAAACATGAATATGTCACTTCGCCGTATACGTCGCATCTATTATGCGTCACCGCTTATGCGTCACGTTTGTTACGCGTCACAGCTGACAACCCAGAAATGTGGGCATGTGTTGTGCCAAAAATCGATGAGCTGCCGAATGGCGGCCGCTAGAATGTGCACGTGAGGACTTTAACAAGAATTTAATAAGATTAACACTTAAAAACAAATTTTTTTGCTCAAAATTATAGTAAATGTGTATCTCAGTTTAACGTTTGCTTAATAAATGCACTTTGACGGTCAAATCAGCTGCATTTCAAAAGCCGATACGCGGAAGAAAACGCGTGCACGCGACAAGTCGCTGTGCAAATTTAACAAGATAACCACGTAAAAACAATTATTTGTTTGCTCGAAATTATAGCCAAGGTGTGTCTCAGTTGAACTATTCCTTAAAAAATGCACTTTAATGGTCAAATCAGCTTAAGTTCAAAAATAATTTTGCTGCCTCGGTGCTCCTGGGATCGCGCAGAGGGAGGAAATAAAGGAGGAACGCTGCAGCTGCGTTCAAAATTTAACAAAATAAACACCTGAAAACTATTATTTGTTTGCTCGAAATTATATAAAAGGTGTGTCTCAGTCTAACGTTTGCTTAATAAATGCACTTTAATGTTCAAATTAGCTGCATTTCGCCGGGGCGGTGCAGCTGGTTTGACGGTTCCAAGCAGCGAGCAGAACAAAGGTTGGGGCTATGGCAAGCCGATTGTGTCATTAATATCTGGTGAAGATTCTCAGTCATCCAGGACATAGCAAATTCAAAAAAGTAAAAAAAAAAAAAAAAAAAAAAAAGAAGAAAGTATAACGTAAAGTATAATAAATAAAGTCCAGTTGTTTTTATATGGAAATTTTGAATTTGTCATTATAGCCACGTTTACCTATTACAGGATACAATGGCATGCCTTACTGCTACTACTACTCTGCTGCCATCTAGTGGCTGAAAATGGTACTGCTCTTTTATTTATTTTTTTCAGTCAGAATGAATGAAAACAGTCATATCTCAGCCAAAAATCGGTTTATAAATATGGGGAAAAAATCCATAAATACGTCGCTTCGGCCTATAAGTTGCAGGTCATGTAAATTATGCACACACAAAAAATGCGACTTATAAGGCGAAAAATACGGTTTGTATCGGTAGGGAAACAAAGTTTCTCCCCTTTCCCACTGTGACCTGTTCGGTCATTTCATTGTCAGAATTTTTTTCAACCTTTATTTAAGCAGGTAGTCTCATTGAGTCCCAAGGACCTACCCCACAAGAGAGATGTGTATTGAGTAGCTATGTGAATGACCGGGTGTGATGAAGCTAAATGTTTTGGCGGCATGAAGCTCGTTAGCCCGTCCAAAAAAATTTTAATCCATTAATTATTTGCAACATTGTAAACAACACGGTGTTCAAAGCATGTCAGAAAAGTAGCGGCGTATATAGTCTGGAAATTACGGTAGATGACAGCCATGTTTGTGTGTGTGACCGAGGAACAAAATACTAACAATGCACTGTTTACCAGGACAGTTCAGCTGGAGGCCGGGGGGCCAAATCCAGCCCGTACATGAGTTCATTCAAAAAGAAACTACTAGAGTTTAATATGAAAGAAAATAAAGTACATGATAGAAAAAATTTTTAGAAAATCTAAAAAGGTAAATATTTCTGTCAAGAGAGATGATCCTGTTATTGAGACGTTCTGTGATTTAAAACAGCTATGAGCACTTTGGCTGAGTACAGTGTCTGTATGCCGTGAGAAAAAGAGCCAAAACCATCCGTCAATTAAAGATGCGCATCACCCACCAGCATGAAAGCGTTAGTCAGACTGTAGCTGACTCAGTCCAAGGACAAGGATGAGTGAAAAGCATCCGACGTTATTGAAGTCAAAGGTAACTTTAACGAAAACAGTTCATGGTGAGTCTGGTAGAAAACCCAAGGGTCAAGGGTCATAGTAGGGGAGCGTATCTTCATGCTACACATCTTAACGTTATAAACTGACATCATCAGTTCCTTTGACGTCGTATTTCATTTTCGTCAATGGGCGGTTGGGACGAAGTCACGTCTGTTCAAGTTCAAGGTTCTTTATTGTCATTTGCATCACATGTGGTACATGAGGTGGAACAAAATTGTGTACTGAAGGTCCCAGTTACACCCAAAAATATAAAGTATAAAAAGAAACCGTATATAAGGATCTAAGATATACACTAAACAAATGATATGCTAAGATATATGCTAATTATATTAGCTATACACATTGCGCGCTGCTAGCTTAACGCTACGGTTCTGTTGACAGGGCGAGGCGCCCTGCTTGTAAACACTGCAAGATCTCATGCAATATTGTTTACTCTTGTTAATGACTCTCTGCTACTACCACACCAAACTTTAGCTCTGTACTTGTAAAATTAACTGAGTTATGGCTATTTTTGTGTTCAAAGTCTGTTAGCTATGGGGGCCATCTTGAATTATGTTTGCTCCAAGCGTTAATCATTTGTAGATCTAAGTGTCATTAAAACCTGTGCAGTGGTTCATGAGATGTTTTCCTAACACTACAGACACAAGCAAGATCATTATCGCCCCTTCACTAGGCCTGTCGCGATAAACAATAAATCAATTAATCGCTTGATAAATGAAAATTATCGACCTCCACTTTATCGTTTCTTCGTGTCTCTTTCTTTCTACTGAAGAAACTGGATGACAAAAGGCTCAACACTGACCCTTTCCTTTCTCTTTTCTCGTTCAAATTTGTTTTAATGATCCAAAATTGTGTTTTTGTATCGTTAAAAGCAGCTAAGCTGAGAAGCTAAGCTATGAGCTAAGCTAACAGGCTGAACTCGGGGGGGGGGGTGTCCTTCTTGTTGCAGCTCTAAAATTCATGGTTGAAACCCGTGCCTTTGTGTAAAAAGTTGTTTTCTCTACAAAAAGGAGCTGAGAACTTGTTTACTGATTTTTTTTTAATTAAAAGCTTTGTGTGAAAAATGCTATGCTAAAGAGCTCAAACCACACTGAGCGTCCACCATTTTCAGAACCAAGAAAAAGGAAAGGGAGACAGCCCATGTCACGTCAAGAGGCCTCCCTCCCATTTTTCTTAGAGACACGCTGCTTGCTCCCTCAATATCCATCCTTCGGTTCAAACAGTCTTATACTGCCATCCGGTGGTCAAAAAAGGTACTACACTCAAAACAAATTAACCAACATTTCGTCACATTTCAAACAATATTATCGTTTATCGCAATCATTTCTGAGACAATTAATCGCCCGGCAAAGTTTGTTATCGTGACAGGTCTACCCTTCGCACACTCCTTTGCTCCTAAAGAGTGAGTTGATTTTATGCGTCCGGTTTAAAGAGCCCGCTTTGATCGGACCGACGCCGCGGCCGGCTTAGCATCGTTGCGTAACACTCTTACTCCAAACGCCGAAGCTCGCAGCAGCTCATTGTGTTTACTCCAGGTCACGCCGATTATCAATCAACCTTTATTTATACAGGTAAATCCCATTGAGCCTCGAGGACTCATTTACAAGAGAGACCTGAATTATATACCCTGATTACATGAATTATATTACCCTGATTATAAAACCTTTGTCGGCCTTGTTTTTAAGACGATCAGCTGTTTTTGTTTCTTTTGACCCGGCTGGCAGTTTTGATGGATATAAAGCGTTAGAGAAGCCCCGGAGGTCTCACAACAACTCCTGTTGTTTTCCAGCTTGAGCTCAGCCCGTCAGAGTCAGGAGGTTCTACTGATTATCTGCTCCAGCTTACTTTTATCCCCATCAGGCTGCAGGCAGAAATCAGACGGGGCTCATTCAGTCCTCTGCTCTCCTGATGATTTACACGCTGCATTTGAACAGTTTGAACCCCACGTCAGATTTTTACTCACATTTGAAGGTTATGGCAGCGGTTGATCTCTAAGATTGGGGTTAATCACATGCCCGAGGTGATGATGTGGCGTGTGTGTTTGTGTGTGGAACGTTTGTGTGCAGCTCCCCCGGGTGGCCCTCCCCAGTACAGCTCCATCTTTGGCAGCAGGCTCTCGTCCAGCTCCTCTCCTGCCAGGTACGAACGAAAACAAACATTTTCTGCATTTAAAGTTCAAAGTTTTACTGATTCTCTTTGCGTTTTTTTTTTTTTTTTAACTTTTCCTCAGTTCCCCTGGCGTCGATTCGGTTTCCAGCTCTCAAACTTTTGGAAGTAAGTACAGAGCACGGACTCCATTGATCCTCTTCTGCTGGCCTGTGTTGCGTTTATATTTAGTCCCTTTATCAAACCCTCCAGAACCAGAACCAGAATCAGAACCCACCCCCTTCCCTTATTGGACTGAAACTCAGAGTATAGTGTGAAACGGCAGGAATGTCCCCTGTTAACCCGGCACACACAGGGGCGATTATCTCCCTGTCTTCTTTCACCTCCTCCTCCTCCTCATCATGTCTCCTTGTGTGTCTCAGGTTTCCCCAACCCGTTCAGCTCCAGTGGCGGGTCGGCCTCCCAGCAGCCCGTTGCCCTCTCCCCCAGTAACCCTTTCAGCACCGCCTCAGGAGGTAAGCTTCGTGTCTTTCACAGGTTTAACTCTCACACTTCCTGCTGCAACTTTATTAATCCCCCGTTGATTTAAGAAAACTTTTGATTGCTGATATGTGCTGCTGATCTCATGCTGCTGATCTCATGCTGCTGTACTCATTTGTACTCATCTATACACACGGACTTATGTTCGTGCTGCTATTGTTCGGCGTAGTGTTTTGCACTATTAGTGTTAGCGTATTCTTATTTTATATCTTAGATCCTTATTACTGTTTCTTTTTTATACTTTATATTTTTGCTATTGTTGGATATAACTGGGACCCTGTGTGCACAATTTCGTTCCTCCTCATGTACCACATGTGATATGAATGATAATAAAACCAACTTGAACTTGAAAACTGACAGCTCTGGTAGCTTACCTGTCTTCAAAAGCTAAAATATGATTTTTACATTTTTATTTATCTCGAAGAAAGATTTTACGATAAAACAGGTGGTATAAAAACTATTATATACTTTTTTGATCTCCTATGAGCAATATGTGGTTGGAACGTAAGTGAAGAACCTGTTTAAATATTTAATAATTTACAGTAAAAAATATACAGCACTGTACAAAGCTCTTGAATCATCTTAAATTGTTAAATAATTGAGTGTTTTATTTTTATTCACTTCTGACTCATACATCAATCATTCATTCAACCTTTATTTAGACAGGTTAATCCCATTGAGCCTCGAGGACTCATTTACAAGAGAGACCTGATTTCAACAAAGAAAGATGACAACAATGGACAACAGCAACAACAATAGACAGTTATAAAAGAGGCGTACAGATTTTTATTTTTTAACAAATTAAAATAAGATGGCAAAAAAGAAGCAAAAACAGCTAGATTCTAAGGTGAATGTAGGAAATCTAAAAACAGGAACGTGTCTGCATTGGTCCCTGCCAGGAGTCCAACAGATTCTTAAAGCCACTTAGAGAGGTCAAGGTCGAGAGCTTCAGATCTTTTTGTAAGATATTCCAGGAAACAGGAGCGGAGTAGGAGAAGGCCCTTTTGCCAATTCAAAAAGCGATCAATGCAAAAACCTTTTGACACTTTTGCCAAGTTCACTCCTCACTGAGGGAACACTGCAGGTAATAATATCCTGAGAGCGCACGCTGTAGCTGCACTCACGCAGAGACATGAAGGAGGAGATTAAGGCAACAGACCAAGAAGTGATTTAAAGATGAAAATGTACCAGTGAGAGAGTCTGTGTGAAGTTAATGATTTCCAGTTAACCAGTGAATACACGGTGCAGTGGTGGGTACGATAATCACAGCCAGCTATGAATCTTAGTGCACCATGATAGACAACATCCAACATCTGCAGGGTTCTTGTAGGAGCGTTCATGTAAATAATGTCACCGTAATCAATGGAGGGAAGGAAAGTCACAGATACAAGGCGTTTAGCATTCAGAGTTAGACAGGATCTGTTTCTGAAAAAGAAACCCAGTTTAACTTTCAGTTTCTTTACTAGATTTTCCACGTGGAGCTTAAAAGAGAGATGCAAGTCGACAAAGATACTCAAATATTTATAGGAATCAACAAACTCCACGGGGACACAATTTGAGGATAAAATCGGAGGAAGAACTGCTGGGACCGACTTCCTGTTTGAAAAAAGCATCCCTTTGGTTTTATCGGCATTTAAGACAAGTTTGAGGTGGATCAATTCTGACTGAATGATGTCAAATGCGAATTGCAAAAGCTGGAAAGCCTTAGCAACTGTTTTAGCTCGACAATAAACAACTGTGTCATCAGCATAGAAATGTGAGGATGCCTCAAGGATGCTCTGACCTACATTACCTATGTAGATTGTAAAGAGGGTGGGGCCTAAGACTGATCCTTGTGGTACACCATTGTTGACTGTTAAATAACTGGAGGAAGTACCATTATGTTGAACACATTGTCTCAGATCTGATAGTTAGAGAACCAACCAATGGTGTGATCTGAGAAACCGATTTCTGAGAGCTTATGACACAAGATGTTGTGATCCACAGTGTCAAAAGCTTCAGACAGGTCTAAGAAAAGTGCAGCACAATAATCCTTAGCATCCAATGCTTCAACAGTGTCATTAAGAACCTTCAGTGAAGCAGTCGTTGTGCTGTGTTGTTTCTTGAAACCAGATTGGAGGGGAGGTAAGATGTTAAATGAGTCCACATACTTCTTTATTTGAGAGTTTATCATATCATTATTTATTTATTATTCATAAAGGGCGCCTCAGCATAAATGATTAACCGAATTGTGTCGACACATAAACAACTTGGCGAATAACCAACTTTTAAATAAATCTTTAGCTACTAACTAGCTAAAGTACTGACTAGCTAGTATTAACGTTTAATATAAGTACCATAATTGTCTGGCTTTAAAATGCACCTGTCTCTAAGCTGCACTTATTAAATATAAGATAAATAATAGTTTTGTACATAAATAAGACGCTTCGGTTATTTAGCCGCGAGCATCCACCGTTCATCATCGGGATCTGCACCCCCATCCACATCCGGCATAATGTGCAGCTTTCTTGTTGTAGTACAAGAACCAGCCAGCAGGTGGCATTTCACAGAAAATAACTTGCAACACGCTCAGACTGCGAGATCGTCATGAAGCTTCGCTGTCTGACTCATGGTTACAACCGTTATACCTTCAAAATGAACACAATAACTATCTAAGAATAATCACTGGGCAGAACAGTGCTAAAAACCTACGTAATCAAAATTATTAAAAAAATTATTTACCGGTTATACCCAGAAGTCTCATCGAGCTCATGTGACCAGAAGTCAAATAGTACCCGTAAAATGCGGTAAATGTTCATTAAATTAGTACCATTGATTTTTATTGGTCGACACTTTTGGTAACAGCTGCTGTTTTTAAATGTACTTTGTAAATAAATTTGACATGATTTCTCCTCAGCACGGCTCATATGAGCTGAACTGCACGCTGTTTGTACCGGCAGTTTTAGTGCGCGCTCGGGGGGTAATACAGGGAGACCGAGACACAGCTGAACTGCTTGTGCCAACAGTTTTCGAACCGCAGAGTGAGCGCTGCCTTTAACTTTTTAGCTAGCATGCCTATATTGTGTGCTGTTAGCTTAGTGCTAGGTCAGTGCTGACAGGTAGGGGTGTGTGCGCATTTCAATTCGGTAGGCGGGGCACTCGGCTTTATTAATGGGGCGGAGGCGCCCTGCTTGTATAATGATAGGGGAAACACTGATTATCTTAGCTAGCTATTGCCGTACACGTCGCATCGCCGTATAAGTCGCATCAGTCCAAGAATGTCTAATAAAGTTGGAAAAAACATAAATATGTTGTTTCGCCATATAAGTCGCATCTATTATGCATCACTGCTGACAACCCAGAAACGTGGGTCGGTGTTGTGCCAAAAATCGACGGGCTGCCAAATGGCTGCCGCGGGAGCATGCATGGGAGGACTTTAACAATAATTTAACGAGATTAACACTTAAAAACAATTATTTGTTTCCTCGAAATTCTAGTAAAGGTGTGTCTCAGTTGAATTTTCCTTAATAAATGCACTTTAATGGTCAAATCAGCTGTATTTCTCTTGGGCGGCGTGGCAAAATGCAGCTGATTTGACGTTTGCTCCAGGAGTCCCGGAGCGAGACGACGGTGGCTTTGTATGGCAAGCCAAGTGTCTCATTAATAGCCACTTTTCCCTATTAATGAAACACTTGGTTTGCCATATTACTCAAGTGCCCTCTAGTGGCTGAAAATGGTAGTGTTCAATATTTTCCATGTCAGAATGAATGAAATTGTCAGATCTCAGTCAAAAGTTGGTTTATAAATATGGGGGGGTGTATATTAGTCGCTTTGCTGTATAAGTCGCAAATGCATGCAAATTATGCAAAAAACTGCGACTTATACAGCGAAAATTACGGTAAATTCTTCAGAGAACCCAGAGAATAATAAATGTAGAATATCCCATTAATAACCAAAGAATGGCTGCTTGGAAGAATTTTATTTTTTAAATTGAGCGATGGCTCAAGTCTTTTGCGCAGTGCCTTATCATCAGTCGAGAAAACTGTCAGACAAATTTTAGTGGTATATGAATCAATAAATAAAATACCTATTTATAGTATGGACAGAGAATTTTGAACTGTCTTTGTTGGTGCAAAAAACTTAAGTTTTTAACCCTTTATTTAATAGAATTTGACAACAAAACAGGTATAGTAATCTACACACAGAAATAAATCTAAATAAATATGCAGGATATAATAAAAATATAGCAATATGAACTTAACTGTACACAACAAAAACTGTAAAAATTAAAAAGCTTTGAATTATTACATGTGATTTGTTCAAGACTTATATGTAAGCCAAAGTTTCACCTTTAATTTTCTATTTAGCGTATCATCTTTGGTTTTATTTCTGATTTAATATAAATTCGTGTCTCTCCTTGGAACAAGCTGTTTCTTATGTGTCCGAATGTGGGTGGGTTTTGTCTCCAGGTGACTCCGGTGTTTTTGTCACTTCGCCCACCTTTCCTCCTTCAGCTTCCTTCCATTCAGCTGCCTCCCAGAATGCATTTCCTCACGAATCAGCCACCAGTCAAGAAGCCAACGGTGAGATTTGTTTCATCTCTTTATCGGACATCTTTGCGTTCCGAATGGAAGCGTGATTAGTGATGTTAAATACAAATAAAACTGCCAACTTCATTATTCAATCAGTCAGATATTGTAATTATTTGGTGTTTAAATGTTTTTGTCATCGTATTCTCTCAATTTTCCTTGCTGGCCGTGGGTAATTTCTTCCATCTATCCATCAAAGTTAAGTCATGTCATCTGGCTGGTTTCTTTTTTTGTTGAGACGTTTCATCCAAAGGACTTCTTCAGTCCGAGGAGCCACAACAAACTCAGTCCCACAAGCAGCACACTCGCATACTAGGCCTGTTTTGCTTGTATTTTGAACCACTTTGACTATGACTGCCTCAGAGGAGTCGACGGGGAGCAGGCGGGCCCCAGAAGCCACGTTGTCACCAGCTAACTGGTTGACCCACTATGTGAGTGTGCTGCTTGTGGGACTGAGTTTGTTGTGGCTCCTCGGACTGATGAAGTGCTTTGGATTAAGGACGAAACGTCTCAACAAACAACAACAAAAAACATGTCCAGAGGACCTGACTTAACTTTGTTGGATTTTTTTTACCTGAATTATTGAGCATGAACTTTGATGTTTCTTCCGTCTATCCATTTTATTTACACGCTAAAGTTTGGATTTTATCCAGCAGTTTCTCACCGGACTGCGACTAGAATCCTACATTTTGAATTTTAAAAACAATAAAGCTAATTGGTACAACGATTTTTCTAAAAACTTGTAATCGTGGCCACCTCAAACATTTTTCAAGAGCACCAGAGATGTACAGTATTTTGACATCTGCCCTATGATAGAACTCATTCGACCCCGAATGTTAAGATCTAAAAACCAAGCAATAACTCGAATAACTAAACAAAATATGCTCATCTCCATTTCAAAGGTACAAATGTAAGTAGATGAAATTAGTTCATTAACTTTTTCAACTTCTTACCCACAAAGTAACATGACAGAGACTTGCTACTCAGATTATTTCTTGTTAAAGTGTACAAACATGAATAACAAATCATTAAATAAGGATATAATAACAAATAAAATAATTTTATCCATATACGACGACTGTTTTAATTCTTTTGATTTCACGTTCCATTGAGGGGTCATGACCCCAGCTTTGAGAATCATTGAATTAAACCATAAACGTGAGGATAAGATAAGATAGAACTTTATTGATCCTGCAGGAAATTGTTGAAATGGATGACTGCCAAGATGAATACAAAGCATTCTCGTTTGTACAAGGCTGGTGGAGGTAGGCAATGAATAACCGTGCACGGGCTTGTGCACAAAAACAGGTTGTACGTGGCCGCACTGCTGGCTGGTCGCAAACACTCAGAATTCAGTGAGACTGCAAAAAGAACAACAACAAAAAAACAAACATTCTTGCATATTTCAGTCACTAGCTAATCAGCAGTCGCAGCTCAGTCAGATGCTACTTTTAAACTCGTATCTTTTTCTTTACGTCACGTCCACTGGTCCACTGATCCACTGGTCCATGACCAAATTCCTTGTAGGTTTGTTATCACTTAGTGCTACAAAAAGGGTGACTGAAGCATCAATTATAGTTTACCGTACTTGCCGCCATACACGTCGCATCAGTCCAATTATGTCTAATAAAGTGGACAAAACCATAAATACGTTGCTTAACTGTATAAGTCTCATCTATTACGCGTCACCGCTGACAACTCGGAAACGTGGGACGGTGTTGTGCCAAAAATCGATTGGCTGCCAACTGATGGCCGCGGGAGCGTACACGGGAGGACTTTAACGAGAATTTAACAAGATTGGCACTTATAAACAATTATTTGTTTGCTTGAAATTATAGCAAAGGTGTGTCTCAGTTGAACTTTTCCTTAATAAATGCACTTTAATGATCAAATCAGCTGCATTTCACCTGGGCGGCGCGGCAAAATGCAGCTGATTTGACGTTTGCTATAGAAGTTACGGAGCAAAACAAATGTGGCTTTGTATGGCAAGCCAAGTGTCTCATTAATAGTCACTTTTACCTATTAATAAGACACTTGGCTTGCCATATTAGTGGAGGGCCCCTCTAGCAGCTGAAAATGGTAGTGTTCAATATTTTCCATGTCAGAATGAATGAAATTGTCAGATCTCAGCCAAAAATTGGGTAATAAATACAGGAAAAAAACAAAGTCGTTTTGCCATATAAGTCGCAGGAATGCAAATTTATGCAAAAAGGTGCGACTTATATGACGAAAAGTACAGTACTCACTAATAGGAATACAGTAGTCCCTCACTTATTGCAGCTGTTACGTTCCAGACACCCCCGCGATAGGTGAAAATCTGCAAAGTAGGGATGCTATATTTATTTTAGTATTTATATATATTTTTAGGCTCTATAAACCCTTCCCACACTCTTGCAATGTTCTAAACTCTTAAACCTACGTAATTTTAACAACATACATACAGTACTATAAAGTTTTATATGGGTACTCACCAGTGAAGATACTATAACTTGAAGGATGAGTTCAGCTTCAGGATTATTTGCGACTTTCCTGCCAGTTCTATGATCTTAATAGATATATTATTACTTCTGACTGCGTTGCAAAACTACTTTTACCACATCGGTTTCTCCAGCGGTGTTTGCTCCTCCATTGCTGTTCTTTGAATTTCAGAAGAAGGCAGCGTCCAGAAGCACTGTTGGCTTCGGGGCCGTGTAGTTCTTTTGACTTGCTTTACAGTGTAGACTCATTGAAAGAAAACTACAAAATGGTGGTGCCTGTCCAACGTTTTTTTTTTTTTTTTGTCGTATTGGTTGGTACCCGCTCCCGTCCGCTGCCATTAACTTTTTATCCCCTACCGTCCCAGTTATGTGCATAATATTAAAGTTCACTCCTTGGGTTCGCTGCCTGAAACCTTTGAACGTGCAGAATGTTTGGGTGGCACCATAGGGCTTGAAATAAATTCACTCTCTTATGAAATTTCACAAAAGAACACAGAGAAAGAGATGTGAAACTGATGCTACGGTTACTGAACCAATCAGCGCCTGGGATACAGAGCACAATCCTCTGGTTGGTCGCCTTCCATCAATCAGCCAATCGTGTGTTGTGTACAATCTTACGTTGCAAACCCGCAAAACTGAGTCCGCGAAAGTAGCGACTAGTAATATGACGCCTTGTGCTCATTTCCTGTGGCTGTACATCCGTGGTTTTATAATAACTAATGAAAATGTAACACAAAGGCTAAGATAAAGCGCTTTCACAATGTTTGCTGCTTTGGCAATAACGTTTCACCACCGTTTCACCGCTGACCGCAGCCAACAGTCCAGAAATACCAGCCGACACGCCCAGACTGGAAGCGCGGCTCCAGTGGGGTCTTGTTTCAGTGTTACACCACTCAGCGTGTTTTTTTTTTTATGCTTCTTCTGTTTTTTTTTTCCAATGCTTTCAGGTTTCGCCTCATTTCCTGCGTCTGACTCTCAGTCCAAAGTCCCCCGGCCCATGTCTGTAAACCCGTTCACGGTGAGTTCACACCGGGGGGATTGTCAAAAAGACCGGGATGTCTGTGGTGCACGCTGCCGTCTCTCACCTTGTCTCTTCTTTGCCTCACAGGGGAATGTTTACCCCAGTCGAGGGACATCGAGAAATCCTTTCATCTGAACCCCCCCCAATTCTCCTCACTTCTCTGTGAACCGAAGGAGGAGTGAACTTGAGGAGTTGCTGCCATTTCAAAGCCTCTGGAGTATTTTCACCTCGTCGGGGACGGGTCGGACCCTCCTCCGTCTCGCCCTCCCCTCGTCCTCTGTGTTTACGTGTTTGCGGAGGAGGAAAACAAAACAGAAAAAGAACAAAAGCGTGTGAATGTAATTAAGAAATCGTACGTATGACAGTGTTCGCCTGCAGTATTTGTACCGTGTGTCCCAAAGGTGTTTGTGTGCCGGTCAGAGACGCCACCTCAGGGCTCTGTGGGAGTCACGAGCAAACAACGCCTTTTCAGTCTTACCCCAAATACACACGCACACACACACATTGCTGCTGCTTTTGTGCTTTCATCTCCTGCCTACATAAGTAAATAAAATATATAGCGTCCTCTGCTTTAATACTTTTGAGTCTCAGCGGTCGAAAGCCCCCTGGAGCACCCCTCCTGCGTCACGAGTTTTACAAACGGTTTTAACAGCCTTAACCTCCTGATGTGAATAAACGTCTTGGGATACGACAGGCTCGTGTGTGAGTGAGAGAAAAACACGTTTTTTTAATTTTATTTTTTATTTTGTCCAAATATCTATTTAAAATAATTTATGTTTCCACTCTCAGGCTGCATGTGCTTAGAGGGCTATAAGGAGATGCTAATGAATGTAAAAGCAAAAATTCAGACAAAACCTACTTTAAAAATGTGTTGATTTCACAACTTCATGTTCTGGTCCAAAAAGCTTTCTTGCTTTTTTTTTTTTTTTTTTTTTCCCTTTAATTTTTTTAGTTAAATGCAGTTTACATAAATGCAAAGTTTCATATATTAACGTATTTGTAACGACGACATATTCATAAAATCAACTTGTTGCTGCTTCTTATGGTTCGACTCGTTATTTGTGTCTTTCCGGTTGTTTTCGTTCACACAGGAAAAGACGTTTTGAAATTTGATCATCAAGTTGAAACGTGGCAGAATGGTCAAATCTTAAAAATAATGTTTCAATGGGATAAATTGAGATTTACATTTGGGGTGCTGTTTGTAAAGTTACACAGTCAAAAATTAACAGCAATATTTTTGGTTTATTTAACCTTTTATAAGAAAAAGAGTAGTTTTTTTTTTTTCCAAAGTCATATTTTCACCATGTTATTCATACATTTATAAATGTTGTAGTTCCCAACTAAATATTTAATTTACAAGCTAAATGTTTAGTTTACAAACTAAATATTTATTGTCCAATCTAAATATTTAATTTCCAAACTAAACATTTAATTTGCTAACTAAATATTTTACTTTGATCTAAATATTTAACTTGCAAGCTAAATAATTAGGTCCGAGCTCCTAAATATTTAGCTTGCAAGTTGAATCTTTAGATCAGTTAAATAGTTAGGAAATTAAATATTTATTTTGGAAATTAAATGTTTAGCTTAGAAATAAAAATTTTAGTTAGGAAATTAAATATTTATCTTGAACAATAAATATTTAGTTTGGAAATTAAATGCTTAGTTTTGAAAATAAACACTTAGCTTGGTAACTAAATATTTAATTTACACCAAAATATTTAGTTTTCTAACTTACTAAACTTGCAAGTTAAGTATTTATTTGTAATCTAAATATTTAGGTTGTAAATTAAATACTTAGTTGGGAACTATGACATTTATAAATGTATGAATAACATGGTGAAAATATGACTGGAAAAAAATATTTTTCTTATGAAAGACTAAATAAACCAAAATATTGCTGTTAATTTTTGTGTAACTTTACAAACGGCACCCCATAAGCTACCGCTACACCAAATTAGATTGACTCCGAAAAGTAAATGGTTGTAGATGAAAATTATTATTTTTGAATAGTTTGATTTATGTCTGTCCACTGGTTGTGTTCTATGACAACGTTATCCCACTAGTTGTCAATGCCTTTTTGGGTGACTTCGGTTTAGAGAAATGGAGTTTTGATTCTGACCAGTTTGATGAGCTAATGGCTAGTCAGACTGGGGCCAAGACCATAGTAAGCACCTCCAATTTCAAAACTTTCAGAGGATCATACCAATGCTATTTTATTAACCTTAAACATTTGTTAATTTTGCATTATGTGGTTATATATAATTTTATGGTTATTTACAACAGTGGTCCCAATACTGGTTCTTGAGGAACACCGTCCTGCATATTTTAGTTTTTCTGCTTTAACGCACCTGATTCGGTGGTTTAATTACTTCCTAAAGTTCTGCAGAAGCCTGTTAATCATCAAATCAGGTGTGTTGTAGCAGAGAAGTAACTAAACTATGCAGGATGGTGTTCCTCAAGGACTAGGGTTAGGAACCATTAATTTAGAAGCACAAATATTAGCAGCAGCTAGCTAATGGCTATTTTAGACTGGCCTGGCACACTTTAAGACATGTTTCTGCCAAGAAAAAAACATGCAAAAGTTTGTTCTGAACAGAAAAGAAATGTTTGATCCTAATCAGATGCACGAATCACCTCAACTGACTCCTTTTTATTCAAAGGAGCAGCAGCTCTACTGGGAGCTCCCCCCGGATGACGGAACTCCTTATCTCTAAGGCTGACCGGTCACCCTATGACGGTAGCTCATTGCAGCCGCTTGCATCTTTGTTCTTTTGATCGTGATCCAAACCTCATGACCACAGGTGAGGGTTGGAACGTAGACAGACCAGTAAACTGAGAGCTTTGCCTTTCGACTAAACTTTTTCATCACCACGACCAACCTAAGCAACGCCCTCATTACCGAGGACGAGGCCCCGATTCATCAGTCCATCTCCTGCTCCATTGTACCATCACTCAGAAACAAGAATTTGTCTCTCCAAATTGTGATCGTTCAAAGAGCCATCTACAACAGGTAAGATATTAACTGCGCATACGTTTTCCACAGAAACCTACTTTAAATATCTCAACAAACGGGAGGATCTCCTTGATTTTCCTGCTGTAGTGATGCTCTGTCACCAGAAGGGGGAGTCTGAAAGTCACAGTTAACTCTGCCCTCATGAGCAAGGTGACTCCTGCTGCATATTGCATAACAGCATGCATACTGCAAGCGTTCAGCACCAAGATAGAAACCCCCCACCCCCCTGGAAGCAGCAGAATCTCCACATTAGAAGGTTTTAAAATATTCATTTGAATTTGGAAATTGTTCATTTGGACAGAAGATTGGAGCATTTTTTTTTTTTTTTACAGCTCAGCCAAGATGATCGAGAGTCGAGACGCCTAATCCGTCCAGTTAAAGCATCTTAAGCTGCTGCTTTAGGAGAACTCCGGAGTCCAGATACAAAGTGAGCTCCAGAAGAGCTCCTCCGTTTGCTGTGACATACATGAGCATTTCAACACGAGGCAGAGGGGATTTTTAATAATAAATAGAACAGGATGGGCTCGTGGAAGAGCCAAGAGTGAAATCTACTCCTCAGAGTGGAGATGATGATGCCTTCATGGACAATGGGAAATTGTACAGGCTTTATACGGAGTAAAGCGGAATAAAGATTATATGTATATATATATATGTATATTTGTGTGTATATGATTCGAATAAGAATAATAATAGGGGAAGTGGTGGCGAACTGGTGATTGGATGGTCGCCGGTTCAAATCCCCACACCAGCCTCCACCCGCAATTGTCACTGGTTTGATCCCATCAGGACCCCAAAACCCACTTTTAGCTTCTTTTAACTTTTAGGCCAACCAAAGTGCTGTACAGACAAAACAACAGGTAACACACCAAGCAACATACAAAATGAGGTAAATCAGAATATAGACATAAAAACGATGCAGACGATGAAAAACCAGTGTGGAGCATACAGGATCAAAACACAGATCCTCTGGTGTTGAAAGCTACTGAAAGTAGTGAGTTTTTAAACGGGACTTGAAAATCGAGAGGGAGGGGGCCTGTCTGACAAGCAGAGGTAACTCGTTCCAAAGTCTTGGTCCTGCTACAGAGAAGGCCCTGTCACTAAGACGAGTTCCTGGAACTGTGAGGAGCAACTTTTTTTCCTACCGCTTTATGCTAGTGTAGTGCTTTTTAGCGTTTAGTTAAGTGTTTTTGTGTGAATGTTTATGAAGCATTCACTCTTGTGATCCATCTTTCTTCTGTACATTTATCAGCATCTTTCTCGTTCCACAATTTTTGTGCTATTTCAACAAATCATACATCAAAACGTTCAGCTCGTTCAGGTTAAGCCTTTTATGACTTGATATTGGTCAAACTTTAGCTCTTTGAAATATTTAGCATTTTCTTCCACTTTTTCCTGATAAAAAATGAATTGCGCTCATTTTACATCCTTCAAATCTTAAGCTCCGTTTACAACTTTTACTCCTTTCACATTTTGTTCTGGTTCAGCTTCTTTCAGCTTCCTTCTGCAAATGTAAACATTTTTTTCAGCTATTTTCAGCTGTTTTTTTCAGCTGTTTTGTGCTCCTTTCAGGCTCTTTCTGCTAACTACAACATTTTTGTGCTTCTATTTCTTTCTGTTAATTTCAGCTTGTTATGCTCTTTACAGCTAATTTCTGCAAGTTTAAGCTTTTTCTGCTATTTCAGCTACTATTTAACTGTTTTATGATAATTTTAGCTTTTTAGCTTATTCCACATTATTTGCACCCATTTAAACTTTTTCAGCCTAATTCAGCAAAAATGTGCTCTCTCCACTTGCTTCTGGTAGTTTAAGCTTCTTTCTGATTTTTAGCTACTTTTCAGCAGTTTTTTTGTGCTCACTTCAGCTTTTTTCAGATAATTTTCACTTTTTGTGCTCATTTCTGCTTATTTCAGCATAATTGGGCAATTGTGTTCTTTCTGCTTTCTTCTGCTATTTTAAGCTTGTAGCATTTTCTAGTTAATTTTGTCTGTTTTCAGATAATTTCAAGTTTTTTTGTGGTAATTTCCTTAACTTTCAGCCTAATTAATTTCTTTCTGCTGATTTCAGCTTGTCAGAGTCAGAGTTTCTTTATTGTCATTCGCACCTCTTGTGGTACATGTGGTGGAGCGAAATTATGTACACAGGGTCCCAGTTACATCCAACAATAAAATGTATAAGAAAAACAGTCATAACATCTAAGATATGAACCAAGAAAAACATCAACTAAATATACACTAAGCACTCATAACATAAAAACATTGAACATCAGCACAAACATGAACATGAGTGTGTGAGCAGATGAGCACGCATGAACACATCAACATGAAACAGATCAGCAGCAACATGAAACAGATCAGCAGCAACATGATGTGATGTTTTTTTCAGTGATTATTCTAGTTAGAGATTCATGAGTCTAACAGCCTCAGGGTAGAAGCTGTTCGTCAGTCTAGTGGTTCTACACTTAATGCTCCTTAACCTCCTTCCTGAGGGAGCGGGGCAAAAAGTGTGTGTGCTGGGTGAGTGAGGTCCTTCATGATGCAGGTAGCCTTGTTCCTGCATCTAGAGTTGTAGATGTCTGTGATGGTGGGGAGGCTGACTCCGACAGACTTCTGTGCAGCCTTCACCACTCTCTGCAAAGCTTTTCTTTCTGCAGCTGTGCAGCCTCCATGCCACACATTGATGCTGAAGCACAGGATGCTCTCCACTGCACACCTGTAGAAGGAGGTGAGGACTGAGCTTCCCAGACCAGCTCGCCTCAGCCGCCTGAAGAAGTAGAGTCTCTGATGAGCTTTCTTGATCAGGCTGGTGGTGTTGTTGCTCCAGCTGAGGTTGTCATTCATGTGTACACCCAAGTACTTGTAGCTGGAGACCACTTCCACCGCAGATCCTCTTATGTTCAGGGGGGTGTAGATGTTTTTGTTCCTTCTGAAGTCCACAATCATCTCCTTTGTCTTCTTCACATTGATGTGAAGGTTATTCTCTTTGCACCAGCTCTCCAGGTGTTCCACCTCTTGCCTGTAGCTGGACTCATTGTTTGTGATGCATCCCACCACCGCTGTATCATCTGCAAACTTTACAATGTGACAGCCTGGATGGGTAGCTGCACAATCATACGTGAGCAGAGTAAACAGGAGGGGGCTCAACACACATCCCTGAGGAGAGCCAGTGCTGAGGGTTATGGTGGAGGAGGAAAAGTTGTGGATCCTCACTAACTGTGGTCTGTTTGTTAAGAAGTCTAGTACCCAGTTGCAAATGGAGGGGCTTAGTCCTAGTGTGGATAGTTTGTCCATCAGGGTTTGGGGGATCATGGTGTTGAAGGCGGATGTGAAGTCCACAAAGAGCATACGGACGTAAGAGTTTTTCTGCTCCAGGTGGTTGAGCGCAGTGTGGACCACAGAGGAGATGGCATCCTCTGTTGATCGGTTCTCGTGGTATGCATACTGATGAGGGTCCTCGTTGATGTTGATGGATGTTTTGATGTGAGTCATGACCAGTTTTTCGAAGCATTTAGCGACTATCGGGGTGAGGGCCACTGGACGATAGTTATTCAGACCAGTCACTGTAGAGCTTTTTGGGACTGGGATGATGGTGGCAGTCTTCAGGCAGGTGGGAACTGTCTCCAGGGTAAGTGAGGTGTTAAAGATGTCTGCCAGCACCTCGCAGAGCTGATCAGCACATTCCTTCAACACTTTTCCGGGGATGTTGTCTGGGCCAGTTGCTTTGTGCAGATTAATCCTCCTGAAAGTACTCCTTACTTCAGCTGAGGTCACGCTGAGATGCTCTTCATCCGGTGGCGAGGTGAGTCTGGTGCTGGGTGGTCTGTTCGGGTCTTCAAAGCGTGCATAGAACTTGTTGAGGGCATCAGGCAGAGATGGGTCTTTGGGGCATTGTTCACTCCTTCCTTTATAATCTGTTATGCACTTAATGCCCCTCCACATGCTCCGAGGGTCTTGTGAGATGAATTGTTATACTCCTTTCAGCTTAATGATTCTAGTTTTAGCTTTTTCTGCACTTTCAACTACTATTTAGCTGTTTTATGCAAATTTTAGCCTTTTCAGCTCATTTCACTTTTTTAAAGCTCATTTCAGCTCTTTCTGCTTCCTTCTGGTAGTTTAAGCTTCTTTCTGCCTTTTCAGCTACTTTTCAGCAATTTTTAGCTAATTTCAACTTTTTTTCGCTAAATTCCATATTTTTGTGCTCATTTCTGCTTATTTAAACCTAATTCAGCAAAAATGTGTTCTTTCTGCTTTCTTCTGCTAATTTAGGCCTGTTCTTCCCACTTCAGCTACAATTCAACTTTTTTTTTTTAGCTAATTCAGCTGTTTTTTAGCAAGTTCTTCAGCATTCACACTGCATTTTCGCAGGAAATGCAATTTCTCTAGTTAGTTTAGCACTTATTTATTTTTTTTTTGTCTTACGTAATTGAGTGGATCATTTTCCCCCCCCTTCTATTTGCTGAGTGAGTTTCAACATGTGAAGCTGCGCTGTCGGAGCCGTCCTTGAACGCACCGTGCTCGTGCAGTGACTGACAGCGGGGCCGCGGCTGCTCCACGGTAGCTGCTCCGCTCCGCCACCAACACAGAGCCGCTCCGGGCAGGGCAGGGGTGGGGGCACAGGCTCGCGGGCTCCGTGATGAGCAGTAAACGGGATTAAACGGTGCAGACAGCTCCGGGAACCACTAGTAGTAGTGTTGGGAGTAGAGGAGGAGCAGGAGGAGGGGGGAGTCCCGCTCGAAGCTGCTCCGCGTGTGTTCCTCTGTTCGGGTCCGCCTGGGAAACTTGCGCTCGTGAGGGAACGACCCCGGGAAAAGCGACCGTTGGGAGAGTTTTCACCGTCATGCCTGCGTGTATGCGCGGCAGAGCGGGGCAGCGGACCCGGGGGGATGCTTGAACCACTTCGCTGAACTTCCAGACAACTTGAACACTTTGTTTGTTTGTTTTATTGTGGTTATTTACTCGGAAACCGAATCAATGGAGGGGCACGCGGGCGAGCACGACAACAACAACAGCGGCGCGAGCGACGACGTGCGGCGGAGCGGCTACCTCCGCAAGCAGAAGTCCATGCACCGGCGCTACTTCGTGCTCCGCGCCGCCTCGGAGCGCGGTCCGGCCCGCCTGGAGTACTACGAGAGCGAGAAGAAGTTCCGCGGCAAGGCCCCCGTCCCGAAGCGGGCCGTGGCGCTCGAGACGTGCTTCAACATCAACAAGCGGGCCGACGCCAAGAACAAGCACATGATCGTGCTGTACACCCGGGCAGAGAGCTTCGCCGTGGCCGCGGAGAGCGAGGCGGAGCAGGACGACTGGTACCAGGCCCTGGTGGAGCTGCAGTGCAAGGGTGAGAGCACGTGCGCGCGCACACACGGGACACGGCGAGTGGGGGGAAACGTGGCACTGCAGAGTTCATACTGGGACCCTCTCGAGACAAAAACCAGTTGGTGTTGCGTTCAAATTGGGGCTTTTTAAAGATGGCATCCTCTCTCTGATGGAGTAAACACGTGCGTGTGCGCGTTATCGCCCCCCCCCACTCAGCTCTTATCAGGCTGGTGTCAGACTTGTTTAGCTGAGCTTCAGCTGTGTCCCCGAACACACCCTGCCCTGCACTTTACTGTTGTTGTTGCTGATCCAGCAGTTATCACATCAGGCATTGATCCCAGAGAGGAGGAATGAAATGTTCTGAAAAAAAGAGCTCAACCAATCAGCTGTGAGTGCAGTCTGAAGTTTACATCCACCCATCATGGGCAAGGGGCGTTTTAATAGTTTATTTAAATCAGATTATTGTGGATTTTCTCTAATCCAGACAGGCTCAGATATGTTGCAAGTTCTAAGTCTTTCAACGAAAGGTGCTGACAGTTGAGATCGTGGCCCATTAGTAAGTGTTCATGATGGACTGCAGCTCGTAGATATCTTTTTGGTAGCGCTTGAGTGGTTAGTTGGACAGCTTTCGTTGGATCAGCCGGTGCACAGAGCGCTGAGGAAGACCCGAGGAGTTCAGTGAAGGTGTGCGGAGGTTGGCGAGGGTGTCTAGGAGCCGCCGTCACCGTTCACCAAGAACGAAGCAAGAAGTGTCAAAGTTCATGCTCAATAATCCAGGTAGAAAATCCAACAAAGTTCAGTCAAGTCCTCTGGACGGTTTCTTTTCTTGTTGAGACGTTTCGTCCTTCATCCAAAGGACTTCATCAGTCCGAGGAGCTACAAACAAACAGAGTCCCACAAGCAGCACACTCACATAGT